CTGTCTCAGGGTTTTATAGGCAGTTGAGAGACACAGGGCTGGGGATGCACACCTGCTAAGTGGTCCCAAAATGTTTACCTTTGAAGAAACACTAAGTTTCTTATTAGTCTTCCTGGTTATTTACAATAATTTTACTGCTCTGATTTCCTCCCAGGATAGCAGCTTCCCGGCCTGGGAGCCTGTCAGTCAAGGCTGCCTGCTTTGCTCCCAAGGTGGGCTGAGTTATTGTCTGTTTGTTAAGAAACTCATTTTTAACTAATTGGGTTTTAAGGTGCAATCTTATTTTCAAGATGGAATCCTTCCCGTTTGTACTACGTTGTTTTGGGCTTGCTCACTACATTGCCCAGGTTGCAAATCATTTGTTTAGGGCTAGAGGAAGAAAAGCAGCACCTGGGTAAAGTCAGAAAAACAAGCTGGGCCCCCAGCAGGCCAAAGCAAATCCCACAGTGGATTATCTTGCTTTGTTTTTCTGGAGGCCCTCACCCTACTCTGTCTAAGCCCAGGGTCCCTATCTCATTCCCCCCTCTGCATATGGAGACCCTAGCTGCTGCTAGGGGAAAGGGAGTGACCACCACTCTGGCTGCTTCATGCTGAGACGGGGCACAGTAAAGGGTGCACTTACGTCTCCATCACTAGTCAGTCAAGAGGCCCTCGGAAGATGGGCACTTCTATCTTGGATTCTATTTCCATCACCATTAGCAGTTTTATGACTTCAAAAGGATTCAGAGAACCAGCTCCATATCGTAGTAGTCCGTGGGACTTCTGGGCCTGACATAGCTTGGACTTGCTTTCAGAGGTTCTGGAGTGAATCAGAGACATTTCGTGAATAATTTGGAATGTACACACAATACACAACTTTAATTATAGCACAGGTCCCACCCTGTGCTGCTGTTAAGATGTCTTAGTGCCATTCTGTTTTGTATAACTGCTTGGTGCATTAGTTTAACTTTAGTATTTAGGAGAGCTATTCCTTGGATAGCATCATTTAAGGCCTTTTGAGTAAAACTGGTTAAGGATTTGATATGCCAAATTATATCTTCTAAACAAGAGATGGTATAAAAATGGAGGCTAGGTGATCATCCCAACGAAAAACAGTCCTGGTCCATCGATGCTGGAGGCTTGGGAGGTCTGCAGGGTGTGCGATGTTCTTAACATCCTTGCAGCCAATTAGTTCAGTTACTACTCTTAAGTTTACTCACTCTTAACAACCATGCTAGATTATTTACAAAATCTTCACTAAACATGACAAAGTCGAGCCTCTAAGCATTCTTCTCCTCTGAAAGATTTAAGCCAGGCTGTAAGGCAGAAGATAAATTTTGAGGATGATTATGAACCCAATAAGTAGAATAGATTTCCAATAAAAGGATTTAGAAAGCCAGTTCCATATTGTAGTAGTTCGCAGGCCTTTTGACCATTTTCCTTCATTGTGACAAAATTAATTTAGCTGCGTAACCTTATTATATCGTATACTTTTCTCAGGGGCCCGGCCTCTCCATCAGAGAGTTTGTATTGAGGCCAGGCTTGTGGGCAGAAGAAGATAAGACACTTCTTTGTCAGGGTTTGGGGATCAAATTGCTCCCAACTCTTCAGAATGCATGCCAGAGGCATGTCTGGCTTTAAACCTGAAGAGGATGTTCCAACCTGGAAGGGAGAGAGACAGGTGTGTGATACCTGGTCGGCCTTTACTGTAAGGGCGTCCCCTCGCCTTGGAGCCTGGGTGGCAGTGGTCAGTCACCTCCTCTGCCAGGCCTACTGGACTTAACCAGTCCTTACCAGCGTGGCCTGCACCTTGCCTTGATTGCCCTCCTGCCCTCCCCCTCAGCAAGAGTCGCCTCGGAGCTCTGGATTTAGTGGGACCTCACCGGTGTGCTCCTGCTTTATGCCTTTTGGGAGTTCTAATCCAGACCCTACTTTCTTCTGCACGGGCCTTAGCATAGTACACTCGGGATCGGTCTTTGAGAGGCCCCTGCCTGATAAGCGCAGGGTCTGTGTGACCTCTCGCTGCCAGAGCGGTGGTCACTCAGAGCCACAAGCCTGCTCCCCTTCCCTGGGGCTGCAGAAAAGGAAATGGTGTGCCCCAGGATGACTGCCTCTAAGGAAGAGAGGTCAGTAGAATAGAGCCATTTACATATTGGAAATCGGCTCAGCCACTCCCCGACATTCCCATCCGGAGGCGGGGGATCAAGGAGCCGTAGACACCGGGAAACCTTCCACCCGGTACTTAAGACTGGTAGCCGATGCTAATCAACATTTACGTAACTAACAGGTCCCAGACACATTCTTATGAGATAAAAAGTACAGCATTTAGTCAAGAATAAGAGCGAAGTGTAGACCTACCTTGCGGTGGTGAGCATCGGGTTCCGTGAGATTGATGGAGTTAGAGGCACACAAGAGCGTGTAAAGGAGGTCAGGAGCAGCCCTGCCTCACCCAGAGGCCAGGGCGGCCTGAAGCAGGCTGGGAGTCAGAGACAGAGAGAGGGTCACTCCTCTCAGATCCCCAGTCGGGCTGTCGGGGTCTGGTTCCAGACACGCGGGCCTTTGAGGAGCCGCTGAAGCGCAGCCTCAGCCTAGACTCTCAGAGGTGCCCACGGCCTTCCTCGGTCCCTCGCATCCAAGGAGACGTCTCTGAAGGGGAATCCTGGCCTCCACTCAGGGGACTTTCCCGGCTTCCAAGGGAGACAGGGAATCCACTGAGGGAGACGCAGGGGAACCTGTCGCTCGAGACTTCGAGATCGGCAGCCGGGCTAGTCCCGTTTTAGTGGCTGACGGGCGCCCGATTTTGAGTGCCATCGACGACTTCCTTCTGTAAGGACAGTGAGAGAAAAGGCAGGCTTGGATGCCGATACTCACCTCCGAAGTTATCCTGGACGAGCCCCCAAAGATGATGCTGGGGTTCTTGTTTGCAGAGTCAAAGAATGAACTTTGCAAACACTCAAGGTAGGAGAGCCAGGGAGAGGCTTTTATTTAGAGAGAAAGCGAGAGGACAGAGCTCCCGGCTCAGGCCAGGAGAGGACGAGAGAGCTCCCACTTCCATGTTTCTTACAAGTATACTAACAGCATAGCTGCGGGAATTCCTTAGATGGGCCAGGCCCCGGCCGGCTTCTCTACTTCATGTATCTTCTTCTATTTCTGGTCGCACAGGAGACAGGGTGGTCACCTTGTTTTGTACGACAGTTGAGGAAACTAAGCTCAGAGAAGCTAAGTAACTAGCTCCAGTCAAACAGCTAACAATTAATAAAGCAAAGATTTGAAATGAAGACCTTTTTGATAAGAATCCATCCTTCACGACTGGCTTTTAAATTAAACAACATGAGAGAGGGATCTGGAGCCTGGCCTAATAAACCAGTTAAATGCCTGCGGCGGCTCATGGACTTTAATTTGGAGCCAAAGCGTGACTCTAGAACGACACGGCAGCATTCCCAGTGCCGCTGGTGACACACTGTCCCTGAGGCCTTTGCTTGAGGATTAGCATGCGGTCAGGGAGCTGCTTTGAGAGGGACATCATTCAGAGGTGTGTACGCTGGTCCACATGTGCCACTGACTCACAACCTGAAAGATGCAATGAGAATGAGGAGGGGCGGGGACAGGCGGGTCAGGGGTGGGGGTACTGGAGGATTGACTTCAGACCAGGGGGCAGTTCTGAGTCCACTGTCTTACCCGCTTGTCTTTAGGCCTCTGGAGGTTTCCCCTGCTTTGTTTAGCACTACACTGTGCCCTTAAAACGGGGCTTCTGCTCAGTTCTCATGACCGATCGGTGGGCAGGCCTTTAGGGTGCCTGGTCTGCCACACCGCCGGAAGCCTATGCATTTGTGTGAAACGGGAGGACCTAGGGAAGTTCTCACGGGCTCTGACACATGGAGGTGCAGGTGTGCCGGGCCGAGGTGGTGGCCCTGGTGTGGCTTGGGCAGATCCCCTCCTCCTCTGGGCCTTGGCCTGATCACGAATGAAAAGGGGGGATGATTACAAATGGCACCCGGGTTCTCCTCGTGCTCTAACATGTTGGTGTGGGCAGAGTGCCACTTGCCGCGCTTTACCACACCTGGGCTCCAGGCTGAGTCCCACAGAGACTGTGCTGAGCAAGGAGCTCAGGGCCCACGCAGCACGCAGCACACAGCGCGCCCAGTGAGGAGCACGGATGGGCCAAGGGGCCTTGGTGTTACTGGGCAGTGTGTTCTAGACGGGGTGCTTAGAGGGCACCCCCTTTAACAAGCATCCTGGGAGAAGTCATGGGGGCTTTCCCAGGGTGGCAACATCTCACTGAGAACCACAGTGCGACAAGAACGTGTCCAGGTAGGAAGGCAGGGCAGAGCCTTCCATGAGAAGCAGGGCAGAGCCAAGGCTTAGGGCCCCACCCTGCGGGACCTGACACTGGGTGCTAGTGCCGCAGTCAGCAAATGTGTCTTAGGGCAAAGTCTAGAAGGCAGATTCTCTGGTGGACACACTTGGAGGGGGTAGACCCATGCATGTGTCTGAGTGTGCATCTGTGTGTGTGCATGTGTGTGTGTACACACTTATGCATGTGTATGGGCATGTCTGTGTGTGTCTGTGTGTGTGGACACCCCTTGCAGGCTGAGAAGAGGCACCATGGCAGCACCCCCCAAAGCAGGCCATGCTGGGGAGTCTGGCCCTGAGTGTGGGCCTCAGCCTGTCCTGAGCAGGAACGGGACGTAACATGGGGCTCGGGATGCGGGTTCCCACTTCATAGCAGAGCCACTGCTAGAGGACAGCTCAGGTGTCGGGGGCCAAGTGGGTGCCAGGGTCGGGCGGGACCAGCTCAGGGGCAATGGAGGGGGTTCCAGGAACATGTCCCTGAGCAGCGTTCGGGTGGGTGAGGCTGGAGGTGGTGACAGTGCGGCTTACAGATGGGACGGAGCAGCCACTCCTTCAAGGACAATTGAAGACGTGGCTTAGAATGACGCCACAGCAGGTGTAAGTGAACGTCTCATGCCGACTTCTCTTTCTTGTTTGTTTGTTTGTTTGTTTGTTTGTTTGTTTGTTAGGGCCCTTCAGGATCTCCAGGAGACAAAGGGCCCCCGGTACAGTATGATTTAAAGGGCTGGGTTTTGATGGGAGAAATTCCGCTCTAATCTAAGCACTTTTAAACTGGAGGGGCCAGAAACTAACGTAGTTTCTGAAAATCTCTCACATCAAACAGCGCAGACTCCCCAAAATAGAAGCGCTGACCTGTGAGCGACAGAGCAGGGGAGGGCCGTCCCCGCCCATGTCCCCGCGGCAGAGCCGCCGACTGTGGCTGGCTGTTCTTTGGGCCGCTCTGCATCAGGACAGCCACAGTTAATACGTTTAATCAGATTGCCAGAAAAACTGATTTTGAGTCTGCCTTTACTGCCCCCAGCCCCACAGCCCTGATCGAAGGAGGGAGCTCTCTTCATCTGTAAAGGGGGCTTGGGAGGCTCGAGGCCACCATGGACGTCCAGTGGGTCAAATGCAAGCAAAGCAGCAGGACGGTGCTCGGCGAACACTCGTTCTTAGCAATGGCACCCCTGACGATGAGCATTTGCATGCATTTGCCAGGAAAATGTGTTTCCACAAACTCACCCAGTACACGTGTGGCTGCATATTAGCAGCTAGGATGATACTGCACCTCATGTCATAGTCCCTGTGTTAAATTCTGCTCATTCAGACGGTTACTGAATAAAGAACAGGGATTTTTACCTCATTTTTTGTAGATAAGGACACTGAGGCTCATAGCAGTTAATTGACAGACGTGAGATTTCAGAGCAAGTTACTGTAAAGATGAGGCAGAAGGGCTTCCCGGTGGAGGGGTGGGTGTGAAGGGCGGGTCTTGAAGGCCCCAGAAGAGGCAGGGCTGGCCCTTGAGCGGCCACCCTGCACAATTCCAGCACCTGGGGGCCAAATGGCTGGTTCCCACCTGCACATCTATTTAAGGAAAACCCCCACAGGGAGCAAGATCATGAGGAAAGATGCATGCCAACCCCTGGTAGTGTTCAGCGGTTTTCAACAGAATGGGAATGCTCTTATTAAAGTGGCTGTCATCTAAGCACTGGGTGCTGTGCCGGGCCCTCACTAGTGAGCTGTGAGTGGACAGCGACCCCCGGGGCTGGCCGTGCACAGGACGTGGGAGGGAGAGCCGGGACTGGAGCTCAGGCCTGGCACTGCAGGCACTGCCCCGTCCGCTCAAGAAAGGGGCCCGCACATGCGCCCTGGGCAGTGACGCTCCCAGGGAAGGCTTTCTAGAGCATTCTGTGCGTGGGTTTGCCACGTCTTCCCTCATGCTCCTGGTGAAATGGGGAAGCGCTGGGCAGGGTGGTCCTTGGCACACACATTATCACAGATTCCTTATAGGAACAGGCCATTTGTACACTGAAAACCAACTGTTGCAGGGAAAGGGGAGCATTATTTTGCTTAAATTCTTTTTCCTTAGGGATCTCGAGGCCCACCTGGAGTCCCCGGCCCCCAGGGACCAGCTGGCCAGGATGTAAGTAAGGAGAAATGGTACCAGCTCAGCTCAGTCCAGGCTCTTAGAGCCCTCCCTGGAAGCCCCCTCCTCCGTGTCCCAGCCTCCTGTGTCCAGGAAACCCCTGGAGGAGCTGTTCTCCACCATCCCTGCCACCCCATGAATATTTTCAGTTTTGCTGCTCTATCTGCTGTGGCCTGTCAGCTACCTGACACATGTTCATGGACCATATGGATGCGTGACGAGCACAGGTTCTAGGGGAGCAAGTCTGTCCAGCGCCATTCAGCAGTGGTGGGACCTGTGGCCTAGACAGGCATCTTTCCATCCCTGTCGTTTTAGCTCACTAGGAGCAGGGACGATAAATTACCCCGACTCCCACCGCCCCCGCCGTTCCTTGGGTTCTGTTTCAGAGAAGAAAGTGACCTTCTGATTCCTGTCTCCACCTATTCAATTTCCCTGCTTCACTGTCAATGTCACCTTCTTGCAGCCAGTCCAGTGGGAGGGACTCCTCCCCTGCAAAGCTCGTCTTCCACCTGCATTTGGGAAAGGACGGTGGCAGTTTATGATAGGTGTGCATACACGGTGTGCAGGAAATGTGAGATTTGTGTGTTGGGTAGGAAGTGTAGAAGTGCCTTACTCTCCTGACATTTGCCACGGTTTAATGTTTTCTGGGAAGCCCTGGGTGTTCAGCTGAGATTGAAAACTGTGAATTTTTTTTGGTACTGGTCTTCATGGGTGGGTGATTTTTTTCACCAAGTTCCTCTTGGCAGATATGGAGGCTGGAAGGGGCGGGCAGAGCGGACCAGGATCCGTGCCCAGCACAGCTAATGCTGTTTCCTTTCCTCTCCTAGGGCCTACCAGGAAACGCAGGAGAAAGAGGGCCTCCTGGCAAACCGGTATGTCACCTAGCCGCTCCGCACGACTACTGACTCTCACAGGGGCTCCAGTGAGAAAAAAATGCAGCTCAGACGGTTCAAGAGATGTTAAAAAGGGACTTTTTAGCAAACCGTGGGCAGCAAGAACTAATCTGAGATATCCGCAGTAGGAAGCTGGTACCACCATCGTGCCTATTTTCAGAGCCCAGTGAGAGGGACAGTGGTGGGGAGGGAGCGTCAGAGGGCAGCTGTGCTGTGGGCTCAAGACCATTGCCAGAAAGTGTCTGAGGCAAAGCCATGCCCCTCCCCGCCCCCCCACTGCTCCAGTTTCCCCACGACACCTCTCATTGTTCCCATCGGCCACAGGCCAGCAGGCAGGTGAGCCCCCGTGACATGGTTCCAGGGCGCAGCCTCGCAGGGGCACGGAGCAGGACAGAGAAGGATAGAAAGTGGGTTAGGGGTGAGCAAGTGGGTAACAGCATACATTGCAGATTCCAGATGGAGGTGAGCTCCCAGGTGAAATTGCAAGGCTTGAGGGGAGCAGGCCACGGCAGGGCAAAGGCAGCCAGGGTGTGGGTTCAACTGAAATCAGCCATGGCCCAACCCACGGGAGCTCTGGGGTGTGATCAGTACCACAGAGCTGTCCCATCCTGAGCCAGGGGCCACTCTCACCTCCTATCCATCAGCTGCTGGCTCGTAACCAACTCCGTATCTCCAACCAATGTTCAGGAAGCTGAGGATGGGTTTACCAGGAGGCCAAGGAGGAGCTGGGCAGGGCACAGCCTGGCTTTCACACTCTCAACACTTCCTACTGTTTGTCTCTTGTCCTGTGGTACCTGACAGCAACCTGCCACGTGAGACCAATGCGTCAGAGGCTTATGCATCCTGTGTCACCTTCAGAAGACCACCACCCCCACACAGACCCTGTTGCTGTGTATTTTCTTGAGACCTATCTTGTGCAGTTCACAGAAATGGGTCACAATAAGACACGATTATCTGCAAGGTCACCCTGTCCCTCGGCCGACAATCTGCTTGTTCTCCCTCCCCTTGTAGCTAATGCCCAGCCTCGTGCGGCAGGGCTCACCCACTCTAACTCCAGAACGTGCTGACAGTACAGTGCCAGCAGCATGAGAATGTCCCAGTTTGAAGAATATGAATCCTATCATTAACTCCCAGGGGAAAAAATAAGTCTTCAAAATAAATGCCTTTTCCCCTTTTAAAAGAAAGTTTCAAAAAGTAATATTGCCAAGGTCGGCCTCCACCAGAGGGTCCCACTTGGATGACTAGGGAAGGTCTCAGCTTGGTCGCCAGCAGCTGCCCCCTGACTGAGTGTTTCTGCAGGGCTGGTAGGTCCTGCGGCACCTCCAAATCTGAGCCAGGTCCATTCCCATCTGTCCCAAGAGTTCTCCTCGTAAAATAGCCCAGAGGGTGGATCAAATATACTTGAGTGCATAGACACAGAAAATAACACACATCTCCTCAGCCATGACCCAGCTTATCCTCTGCAAACGTTTGATGCCACTGTCACGTGGCTTCTGTTAGCTGCAGGATATGGCAGAAGCTCTGGGGTCAGGGAAAGAGGGGTAGCCAGGAAAAGTGTCTTGGTTTCAGCCTCCCCAAGATGCCAGGCTTGATTCATAATTCATAAACCTCAACTCAGACTTAGAAGAAATCAGACACGGCAAGTTCCCCTGTGGCCACAGGCTTCCCATATTCTAGAGAGAATATACCGCCTTCCCCTCTGGAGAACCGATTCTCTGGTATTCCTTTTCCATTGCAAAATTTAGATGTTTGCAAAGTTGCATGTCAATCTCCAAGTCTTCCTAGAAACACCTCCTTCCCTTTAGCGTCTACCTGTCAATTTCCATTTTCCTTCCAAGCCTGTGTTCCTTACACCCAGTGTGAACCAGCTTCCCCTCCATCGTGAGCTCCAGACTGGCCACACTCCAGCTCACAGTGGGCATGGATGTGAATTCAGTGACCTACAAACAGCTACGTATCTTTACAGACTTTGTAATTACTCCTGATTTCTGAAATCTTCCTCCCAGAGTTAGAGACTTTCAACCCACAGTGACGGATGGGGTTTAAATGTGATTTCACCTGGGAGCTGAAGAACTTGCTTTAAATTCATACTAGACTGATAGCAAAGCTGTGCACTGTCTGGTGACTCCAGGACAGTCTGCCCCTTGCCTTCCACAGCACCCATATTGCCGGCAGGATTTGATAGAGGTGGGAGGAGGGCCACCAGGAGAAGAGAAGGGGCTGGCGGAGGTAGCTGGGGACCAGAAAGGCTGATGTCAGGCAGCCTTGGCGAGGACCGGCAGCTGTCTGCCGCTTTGAAAGAGCCTTCTTTCTGTGGCTCCGGGGCTTGGGGCATAGCCTGGGCTATTTGCATCCTGTGCGTGGCACAGGTGTGTTACATGTTAGTTACATGTTCAAGGCCCTTTGCTGTCCAGAGAAGCACAGGATGTACTGTGCAAACGTGTGTTTGTCTGTATTGATTTATTTTTCCTTTGACAGGGCCTCTCTCCACTACTGTCTCCAGGGGACATAAATCTCTTGGTTAAGGTAAAAGCATGAAATAAATGTGCATGCATTTTGGAAATGGTGATGGGAGATTGGCGATCTCAATAAGAAGTTGGTTTTGGCTGAGCAAGTATAGTAATGCCAGGAATGACAGCAGCAGCATTTGTAGGGATCTCACTGTGTGGCTGGCAGTCTACTGAGTCCGCTGTCCAGGTCTGCAGCCACTAGGCATGTGTCAACTGGAATTTAAGTGAATGAAAATGAAATACAATGAAAAATTCAGGTCTTGGTTCCACTAGCCACACTGCAAGGTGGTACTGAGCCACAGGTGGCTAGAGCCCGTCTTCCTGGACGGTACAGATAGAGAACATTTCCCTCGTCCCAGAGAGTTCCCGTGGGCAGCGCTGTGCCAGGCGCTGAGAGTGCATCTCCTGATTTTCACGATTACTTTATGAGGTTGGTACTGTTTGTGTTCTTGCTTTGCGTGTAAGGAACCTGAGACACTGTGAGGGTCAGTAACCTTGTGGGCATAGAATCCACCCCGACTGATTAGAGAGAATGACCCTTAACCCCACACAGGACTGCCTGTGTTCCGAGAAGAGGACCATGGGTGAGTTAAACAGCTTGCTTGTGGGTCTGCAGGCGCCAGGGCCGGAGTGCAGGTGCAGGGCGGCGAGGTCGCTGCTGGCCCCCGAGGCCGGGATGAGCCCAGATTCGAGCTGGTTTTCAGACTCGTGCTCTCTGTGTCTCTGAGTGTTCACTTCCCTCGTGAGTGTCAAAGGCCCTGAGGAGGTGAGCACAGCTCTGCTGAGACAGGACAGAGAACGCTAGATGCCTGGCGTCCAGCCAAGGATGTCAGGTCTAAATGGCAGAGTGCCGGGAAAAGCTCTGAGCACACAGAGATGGGGCACCATGTATGTTCCAGAAAGAAGAGTCTCCCTGCAGTGGGCAGAGGACACTTCGGCTTCCTCTCCTTCAAGCCTTTGTCTTAATTTGGGGTGAAGCTTGGCATGTGTGTGGTCAGCCCCTCTCCTCACTTCCAGAATTCTAAAAAAATACTTGGGTGATGCAAAAAAATACATAGTTCATGCATGAGAGCAGGGGAAGGATGCAGACAAGAAAAGCAGACCTCAGAAGCCTAAGACTTTTAATCTCTATACACCTTGAAATGAAACATTGGTGGAAAACTATACATTTTATTTAAAAATGAGTGGTAATAGAATGTTCTTCCTGATTCTGACAAGAGAGAGAAGTATTTTCCTGGTCAAGGACACCATTATCTATTGACTCAATCCCTTGTTGATTACAAGCTTTTTCATCTGAGGTCGCTTTCCATTAATTCCATCACACTAGGAGGAACAGGGTTTGCCCAGCCCCTGTGCCTGCCCCCAAGGATGTCAGCCTCAGGGTGCCCCCGTCTTTATGCCAGTGATGATAGGAGTGAGAGCTGAGAAGGTCAAGCATGGTGCTTTCTGGTTACAGCATTGAGACAGATAGTTAGTCAAATCAATATTCCTCACCTGCTAAAAGATGCAGGTGTGCTCACTGGAGCAGCCGGGAACCCCAGAGGGAACTCAGCACAGTCAGGTGGCACCTGGAAACCCCGTGGACAGCGGCCTGGACCCCATGAATTTGCCTGGTATGCAGATTTCTCTTGATGTAGTTTCCACTCGTGTAGTCAGCTGCCACCATTTGTCGCAGGAGGTTAAAGCCTGCCGGTCTGGTCCACGTGGCTGGTAGCAGGGGCCTCCCTTGCTGAGACGGCATCTTTTATTACAGAATATTTACCTCTGCCCCCAAATAATTTTATAACATCACGTAACCTATTCTGATAGTTGGAAATCTGCCTGGGGAGGAAGCTCATCTTCCGAGAGTCTCTGTTAAATGAACTTCCACAGTTGGATCTGTGCCCAGGGAGGCCATCCTGGGGACACCTCCCTGAGATGACTCCCTTGAACAAATCTGATTTCCTCTGGTCCTTGCATACAGCCCGTCGGTGGCCACTGTTACTGTCTGCCTTTGATAGAGGAGGATCTTGAGCACACATGGGCAGGTCACAGGTCACTTGTTCAGGGAAACAGCTGGTCAGCGTCACAGCCAAGTTTCCAAACCAGTGGGCCCAGCCACAGGCCCTTGTGCGTCACCCCTCTGCACTCTGCCCTCCTCTCTGCCCGGGGCAGGGCATCCTGACCGCTGCCTGGTGAAGCGCAGGCACGTAGTGAGGTCCCCGCCTCACTGCACTTCAGACCTAGAGGTTTGCAATGTAGCTCCATGACCCTCTGGGGGAATATTGCAGAGGGCATTCAGTATCCAGCGAGAAGGTGGATAAGATGACCTGGAGGCTATTTCTACTCCTGGAAAGCAACGGCAATCTGTTTTGGTTTTGGTTTGTTTGTTTCCACACAGCAAAGATGGCAGAATTCCTCCCTTTGGTAGGCATTTTATTATGCATTTATTTGGTATGTGGTACCATGCTGAACACGACTCAGTTTGTTGAAAATATCTCAGACAAAAGGAAGGGGATGGAGACCAGAGAGAATCAGCATGTATGCTTCCACCCAAGGAACCCTGCCCTATGATTGGCGTTTGCATGCATAATTTTATTTAACCTTTGCAACAATCCCCGTAAGTAGGAGAATGGGCCTCTGGCAAGGAAATAGACTCAAAGGAATTAAGTGGCTTGCCTGAGATAGTTAAGTGGAGGAGTCAGGAGCCAGGATTGATAGATACGGATTTAGGGAGGAAAATACCAGCGGAAATCACAATGGCACGGGCAGCAGCTGAATCTCATTGTGCTCCCTCCGCGTGCCGGGCATGGCATCCCACATTCTCTATTCCTGGTCTCGTGTATGTCTCGCCGGACTTTAAGGCCCTCACTTGGCAGGTAAGGAGGTTGAGGCTCAGGGAGAGTAGCTATGACCCCGTGTGGGCGGAGGCATCCGTGTGGTCTGGTGAGAAGCAGGAGCCTGTCTAGTCCCAAGGTGCTGGGGTAGCCCAGGGTCAGTAGGGACCGAGGGCCCCAGAAGCACAGGAGCTGCAGTGGGCATGGACAGAGCAGCAGGTTGAGGGCTGGCCGTGTCCTGGGCCCACTGGACTTCGGGGTCAGTGCGGTAAATCCGGCACCCTCAGCGGTAAGTCTGAGGGCTGCTGGCAGCTCTGGTCTTCAGGGAAGAATCCTGCACAGAATCTATGGCTAACACAGATTCAGACTGAGAGTTAGCCATCCAGAAATTGGAAAGAAATAGGGAAGTAATGAGATTTTGTATTACTCAGGTGTAACCCCTAAATGCTGTGGATCCTGATGCAAAGAATGACTCCCGATTGCCCCAGTGTCCCCCAAGCCCAGGAGGATCTCAGTGGCCAGAGCCCCGGCTGCCACCAGGCCAGCTCCCCTCTGTACCCATGTGCCCATTGCCACAGTGTTTCTTGGATGCATCTCACCTCAAAGAACTTTAAGAGAAGGTGTAGGAATAAGTGACTTCCTGCCAGTTCTGCTGCTCTTCCAAAAAGCTGTATCCCTCAGCTTGTGTCATTCACCGTCGCTTCATGTGCCCTGCATCTGGCACTCCCCACCCTCTAAGGAAGCATTCAGGCAGCTTCTCAAACCACCCACTAAGGGAAAGTGGTGCAGGACCCGGCAGGACGGGTGCTCGCTGGTGGGTCAGCCGTCGGCTTGGCTGGGCCTTTCAGGCGCTGACGTGCTCTGTGGAGCTGTTTGCTATGCGTTGGGCACGTAAAGATAAAGCAGCTCCATCTCCTGAGAGCGCACACTTTCTGACTGCTTCGTGGGGTGGGGATGGAGGTATAAGCTCATCATTTCAGCAGTGAGATAGGTGCTTCAGTAGCGGGAACTCCCGGGACCGTGGGGGCAGGGACCGGTCCCAGTCTGAAGCAATCAGGAAGTCTTCCTGGTGTGAGAGATTTCTAAAGACTCTTCAAAGATTGAAAGGAGGGAAGCCAAAGGAAGGCGGGCTCTGAGGGAAACCCTTCAGTCCTAAGTCAGAGCCTGGGACGAGGTGCACGCCGCACCACGGCCCGCTCTCCCTCCCCGCTCCCCCTCCCCACTCTCCCCTCTAGCTCCCCCGCCTGCACGGCTCCCTCCAGCGAGAGCGCTCAGAAGCCGCCCTTCCTGCATTTGTTTTGTGTAGGTTGACACCTTTCAACCATGAGCTCTTCAAAACACGTGACCTTTCACGGTCTCAGGACAGAAAGGCATAGAGCCCAGCCAAGCGGATGCCTTGCAAATCGTCTGTCATTGAGGAAGTCACTGAGTGAAAACATGAATTCATAGTAGTAGCTAAATGTGTTGGGAAGGCTCTGACTGTTCTAAGTCCCCTCTTGTGTCATCTCGTGGAGCCCTCATCACAGGGAGGGAAGCGCGAGGCGGAGGTGCATGGGAGAGGCGCAGCACGCCAAGCCCTGGGGTGTGGGACAGGCAGGAGGGGCCGAGCCAGAGAGTTCCATCTGCGCTCCAGCCCGAAAGACCTCAGGATGACACAGGCGGAAAACATGTTCCCAGGGCTGAGAGAACCTGCAAGTCACTCCAGGGACAGTGCTTACCTACCTCAAGGAAGTAAGCAAAGCTCAGTCCCTGGGAACATTTATTAAATGCCTCCTTTGGACAAAGAATAATGCCAGGCATGGCCAGATTGGGTGTGCGCCAAGGCGAGAGGGTGCCTGCCAGGAGCTTCCCTCTTTCTGTTGCTTTGCTCAGAAGTCACTGAAGCAGACCCACAAGACGGAGAGCTCAGCTTCCAGCTTTGTTTTGTCTTTAGCTTTAGGGACAGAAAATGTTACTCTCGACAGCACTAAATGCTTGCGCTGGATCGGCCCTGTTAATGTCTGGATGCCCACAATACTGGTAAGCGCTTCGGTATCGTTGTCTCAGGCAGTACTGCCAGGAGTCCAGCTGGCCAGAAGCCGGGAGAAATGAGGTGATTATCCAGATATATCAGCGCTGGAATCTAATTTAAGATAGAGAGAAAAATGCACAGTTTGACACAAAATGCCTGGGTACTGACGCAGCCCACCTGCGTGTGTTTCCGTCCTTTGCAGGCCATCTCTCCGGAGAGGTGGGAGCTGTGGGCCACCTTCTGCTTTGCAAGTAACTGTATTATTTATTCTCTCTCTCAGGATGTGTGCAGTGACTGCCCTCCAGGCCCCCCAGGCCCCCCTGGTCTGCCAGGTTTTAAAGGGGACAAAGGGCTCCCAGGAAAGCCAGGGAGAGAAGGCACAGAAGGGAAAAAGGTGCGGAGAGAAGGAGGGGGCCAGGGGCCCAGTGGGAAATCAGGGAAGAGCGGCATCTGGGCGGTCACTCACTGAGGACTCTGGGTACGAGCTCCAGACGCTCATCCTTGCCTTTGTCCCCCTACAGGGAGATGCCGGGCCCAGGGGCCTCCCAGGGCCTCCGGGAATAGCTGGGCCACAGGTAAGCGACTCTTCCTAACATCGTGTGTGTCCATTCTGCTCCTCTCGCTGGTTAATCTAAGTTGGGGCAAGAGTGATACCCAGGGTGAAGGAATATTGGTTTAAAAATCAGAAAGTTCACATCCATGCTCTGACCCTGACTCTCAGCATCTCTGTGACCTTGGGAAGGGCCGCTCTGACCTGCTGAGTCTCGGGTTCCTCCTGTGCACATGCCTGAGTGGTTGAACGTAGGAAATGAGTGATAGGATTGGAATGTGTTGTACTTACTGGTTACGGCTTAAACTTTGGGGTCGAAAGCTCTGAATCTGAGAATTTGAGTTCTAGCCCAAAGTTGAGTCTTGAAAACTGTGTGGCATTAGGCAAAATCCTTGACCTCTCTAGGCCTCAGTTTCACCATGCTAATGATAAGAATGACAAGCCCCAGACTGGAGCCTGAGAGATCTCCGAAGTAAAAGGGTTTAGTGAACCTTTACAGATACAGCCAGAGAAGGACTGGGTCCTGGTGGGGTTTCCGCTTCACCAGCAGCTGGGCTACTTAACACGAACAACCTGTCTTCCAGACTCCGGAAACGGGGTGCATTTGTGAGAGTTCTCAAGGAAAGAAAGTCCTTTAAACTCACACTGGCTACAGACAAGGAAGGTGAACTAACGCAAAGCAGAGGAAGCCCTGGGATGAGTGGTTAGTCTGTAAAGAAGGGTCTTGGTTGTTGATGGTGGTCAGACACTGGTCATGTGCAAGGGGCATTCAGGGGTCCTGGGGACCTTCCAGATGATTGTTGAAAGGACTTCATCCAGAACTTGGAGTTTCTGGTTAGCTACAGCCCACGGCTATTGACTGGTGGACTTCCCTTGTCTCTCTCCCTCATTCTCTGGCCCTTTTGTCACTTAATTTAGGGCATTTCAGAATTTTTCCTTATCTAGAATAAAAACAACTTCAGAGATTTGTTTGGGTTGAACAATGTCGTGCATGAAAATAACTTGGTCTGCAATAAAAACGTTATTAGGGAAGTGCTGTACAAATGCAAGTGAATATGATTCTCTCTCATCTGAATGGTGAGGCACCCAGCCAAACTGGCGGGATCGCCCTGTGGCTTCACAAAGTCGGGAAGACCAGCATGGAGGCAGGAGCTGCCATCGCAGCCATGGCACAGGCAGGGAAGTTCTGGCTGCCTGAACAAGTGTCTGGGCCGCAGCTGTTTGGGCCCCTGGCGGCGAGTGTACTTAGCTGTAAGAAGAGACACAGGAGGTGGCATGGGGAGCAGGGGGTGGGGAGGGCTGACCTCCGCCCTCAGTCCCCCTGCCCCCGCAGCTTCACTGGGCGTCTCCCTGACCCTCTGTGGCCTCCACTGTGTCTTTTCTTGGCTTGGCTGGAGCGCAGTGCGGCCCATGTGATGGGAGATGCAGCATAAAACTGTCGGTCGGTCGGGGAGAGAACTCAGGCGCCAGACCTTGGGGGAGGAACCCAGCCAAGCAGAGACCGAGGGCTGCCTTCCTACCCCTCTGTCCTTTGGCTTCCCGTGGTGAACTAGGGAGTATAAGAGCGGCCACCTGAGAGGCCTACGGCCCTGAGAGCTGCTCCAGAGATGCCCCACCGAGCCCTCCTCGACCTGAGCGCTTCCTGCCCCCGCAGCCCCTTGGGTCACAGCCCACAGCAGAGCCAGGACTGCAGGCAGGACCTGGGCTCGAGATGTAGGGGCCAGCGCACGACCTCAGTGACCAACACAGATAGGGCTTTAATGCAGTAGGTCTGCGAGGAACGAACTACCGGCATTTTAAACAAACACGGGACCCACCCTGCACCTAAGGCTTGCCTTCCGTGCCCTCAGCCCCCAGTCCCAGCCCCATCCAGGCCCTGTGTTTATTTACATTTTCATATTTTGTTCATCTTATATTATTTGGTACTGATTGACTGTTTAAAATATGGCATTGGAATATTATTTATTTTGGATGCAGGTTTCCAGAGCCCCTTGTATTTTACACCCAGGGGGGTGCTCACTTCCTCGGCCTCGGCTCAGCCAGGAGGATGAGGTTGGAACGGTCATTATTCTGAAAAGGCAGGAAGGCAAACAAACGCGCTGTGATGGGACAACAAAGCCCCAGACCCGTGGGCGTCATGTGGGAAGCGCCCAGATCTCCCAGGCCCTGTGTTTGTTACCCATAGACGCTGTGAAGTCCTACAGCGTTGTACGTTCCCACAGCTCCTGCTTCAGGAACTACATGTATCAGGTCTCAGCATAAATGGAACAAGAGATTTTTCCCGGAAAATGTTAGGTTACGAGACACCGTAAAGTGTATCATCACCTGTGCTCTTTAATATGTATCACCCTCCCTCTCCAGGTCAGGTGTGGGCGCTAAACTCCTTGCCTGGGGGATTTTTCAGGCCAGTAATTTCAGCTGATCGTTAAGTAACCTTCCCCTGGCAATTTTCTGGCTGTTGGGTTTAGCCTCTGCTGAGGAATGGCCTTTATTCAGAGAAACAAAAGCAAATCAATGTAACAGATAAGGGGCTCCCTCCACTAAGCAGGGATTGTTTCTCTAGCAGCCCGATCCTGGTTGTTCCTTTACATATTCAGAAAGCCAAAGAAAGCTTCCATCCAGAAAAATAACAAAAATCAGTGCTGAATCTAAACGACAGAGGTCTAGCTCTCCACTTGAGAGGCCATGGTGACCTTGAGGAATTCTTGGGGCTCTGAGCCCACCCTACATAATAAACGAGCAGTTTCAATGGACACCATACCCAGTGTTCTAAGGGCCAAGCACCTGGTTACCTGCTGTACAATATTATCTCCTGCAAGGGTCAGCAGCACCCTAGAAGGTGCAGATATCTTCCCACTTTACAGATGAGGAAATTGAGGCTTGGCAGGATTAAATGCCAGGGCTGGTCCGGGTGGAGCCCTGCTGTCTAGCTCCGGGACCTCCTCTAGCTAGTACCCAGTTAGTCTCCGCCCTCAGCACCAAGGACAGCGCCCGGTGGCCGCCCTCCTCTGTCCAAGGGCCTCGGAAGCCCCCTGGGCTAGTTTAGCACCACCTACTGTTGGGAAAATGAATCGTGGAGGAGTTAAGTGTCTCATCTGAGGACTTAGGCTTGACTTCAAATCCAAATCAGCCTTTCTGTTCTTCATCATCCTACACCACATCCCAAAATACGGGAGGGCTGTTTCATACCTGCCTGTTGAACTTCTCTTGTCAAACAACATCTCAGCTGGATGTGTGGACACAAAGCTGAATTTGTGAACTGAAAGTGGTAGCCTCGGCAGAGCTACGATCATTGCTAGTGGCCTTTGTAGCCAGAAGCCCTGTGTGTTCACTGGCACGTGCCTCTCCGAGAGACGTTTGTTTGCATCTTTGTTTGTGATTGTGAGCCAGCATCTAGGGAATCAGCTTCCCCAAGTTTTATCTTGCTGTGTCTGGGTAGCTGGGTCTGGGAGGTTAATGCCACAGTCAACCACAGAACTCCGTTCTAGAGCTTGCAAACTGCGTAAAACACAATTGTAGAGACAGGGTCCAGAGGTAGTGGTGCTGTTGTGATTCTGACCCACACAGAGGAGGCAGAAGAAACAAGACAGTGATCAGAGGGGATGACCCTGGGAGTGTATGTCACAGAGTCAGAAGTCACAGCCTCCCCGATTACTATTCTATCCTCCATGGAAAGCACTTGGTTTCCTTCTCTCCCACATGCCCACCAGCCAGGTGACGGGAACCCTAGGGACTGGAGACACTAAATGAACAGAAGCCCCCACTTGGAGGCTCTGGACGATTCTGGGAGGCAGAGATAATGCCCCCCTGCTGCTGTTAGAACTGCCAGAGGAGGCCACGGCGCCCTGCCTGCCCGGAAGGTAACCCAGCATCATTCAGTCCACACTCCCCCAGAAGCACAAGTCCCTTCTCATCCGCACCTGCCGCAATCCTTAAAGATTCTCAACCAAGCATCCCCCTCAGCAGCTCCCTTCCAAGTCAGGGGGTATAGAGAAAGTCAGATACAGGCCGTGCCCTCCAGGGCCTGAGGCTGTGTTGGAGAAGATCTACAAGCCAGCGACTGGCCCTGGAGGCCGTGGAGAATGGTGGGCATGCCCTGGGCCTTGGAGGTCAGGGTGCCCCACCTGGCTTCATCATTATTAGCCGAGTGGACTTCGCCTACTAGTGGCAGGACTCGAGTCATTGGTGTGACTCCTCTGAAGTCTGGGTCCTTCATCCGTAAAAGAACCACTTGGCCTTGAGATAGATCAGTAGCAGCGCACTGATCACAAAGAAGATGTGCGGATCGACAGAACAGTCACAGAGCAGCAGGCATGGCGCCAGCAGGGAGGAAAGTTTGGGGACGTGTGACGGGGAGTGGTCCTCGTTGACTGTTGGTTGGTTTGAGTTAATAACAACTGTAACAGATGGTCAGGAGAAGAGTAAATGGCATTAAGGAAATTAACATGTTGGGGCAAGGGGTCTCCTGTGACAACCACCTGGAGGAGGTAGGGAGTTGGTTGCATGGATCAGTTAGGCAGGGATTTGCCAGGCATCCTTGGGAAAGAGATTCTAGGCAGATCGACAGCACACAAAAGTTCAGGGACATGGCTTCTTCTGTGAGTAGCTTCTTAATTTGAGAAAGTTTTGGCCCAGCCCTCGACAAACTGTAAACTCCTTGAGAGAATTGCTTTTTTGGTGGATGCATGAAGTCCAGCATCCTTAGAAGCAGCCCCTGGTTTGAACATACCTCTACGTAGTTGTTATGTTACATGCCTAGCACTGGAGTGTGTTGAGGAAATGTAATTAGAAACTAAACCAGATCTTCTCCCAATCTAGAAAACTTCTCGCAAGGGTAGACAAGAAGGGAGACAGTTTTATTATTGAAAAAGCATTAAACCAGACGTAAGGCATACCACAGGCAGCCGCTAAGAGTCTGCAAAGATAGAAAGAAATCCCATCCTCTTCTATAGCCATGGCGTACATGGCCTCAGGAAAAATAACTAGTCTTCAAGTAAGAGGATTTGAGGGCACCATTTGCCACACATGTTCATCCTAATTTACCTGGTAGTTGGGGTGACAATCTGTGTTAGTTAATTAGATTTATCCAAAGGGGAAAAAAGGCTTCTCACATCTTTAGGACAGGAGGTAGTTTTGCAAGTTGGGGCAAGGCAGAGCTCGTACTTTCCTGTAGAAAGTGGGAGAAAGGGACTGTGGGTAAAGTGAAGGTTGCTGTGGCCAGGATTCTCACCCGGCCAAGGTCGGCTAACTCACTACACACACGTGGGCAGTACACTGCTGCTGACTATATAAAGAGCTCTGCCCAACATGGTGGCACGGCCACAGGGCTGCAGGAGAGCTGAGGCTGAAGTGGTGGCAGCCCCGAGGACAGACACTGAGGTGGCTGTGTGGGCAGAGAGGCCCAGAGGCAGAGACCGGCCTGCTGCCTGCAGACTCGCTCTGAGTGGACAGGACTCTAGTGACTGACCTGCCACGGTGGGAATAAAGTTGGGTATAAACCCTTTCACCCCAACAGTGTTCCACTGTCATGTTTCAGTCCTACTGAATCCACAGCGAACTTGTCGGGGGCTGGAACCCACTGGTCGGACAGGGAATGCTGTCTACTTTGGTGACATTTCAGAGCTGGTCCCAAGGCCCTTGGAAAGCCTGTCCTGGGCCCTAGGGCTGGCAGGGGCCTTACTTAGCCTCTGAAGGGATTTTCATATGTCTCAAAAAGACAGGGAAAGAACTCACAATGGCAAGATTTCTAAGAGTAGATGCTCTAAGGAAGGAGTTGGGGAGAGAATCTCTTCCCTTACTTCAAAAAGAAGAATTAAGCCCTCATGAGGGCTCCCCAGTGAACACCATCTGAAGAGAACTGAACCATAATGAACCAGGGACCTCCTGTCCCATAAACCCCAGGTGAGGAGAGTTTTTCATTGCTGTCTGCTGATCGCTGTGTCCCCAGTCCTCAGAATGGCTCCTGGGACATAGGCGTTCAGACTATCGGTCCAGTGCTCTCGATATCATACAACCGGTGAGAGGAGGGCATCACGGCCTAGGGAAACAGCCAGGAAAGTAGCTTGGGAGGGAGACTCGGCGTGGATACAGAAAGATCTGGATTAGATGGCAAATCTTGCTTGTTATTGGCTGTGTGACCTCAGGTGATGATGTAACCTCTCTGGGCTTCACTTCTCCTATCCATGCACTCTGATAATAACCCCTCCTTCACAGAGTAGGCTTAAGTTTTTTTTGCATCAGCTCAGGATATAAACAGATCCGTGGAACAGGATGCCCCAGCCCAGGGCCTGGCGGTCGAGGCTCTGTAAAGGTCAGTTCTTTCTTCTGGAAGGAAGTGAGCCGGGCTTGGGGGCGGCTGTGTTTGCTTTGATACCCAGCTGCAGCAGAGAAGGGGACAAGGACACCTGTGGCAGTCCTTGAGCTGCTGACATTTTCACTGTTGGGAGATGAGGGCTGAAACCACCCTAAGCCCAGTCTGAGGACTGGAATTTTAGAGGAAGCCATTTACTTTGAAGGCAACTGTCCTGAACGTCAGAGAAGACACGTGCTATTCTATGTACTTGTTTTCCTTGAGATTATAATGCAGCCTGCAGACACTGCTAGCTTTATAGATTTAACAGCATTAGAAATAATTACATGCAAAAATGTTGGAACAGATGAGCTTCCCCTCTGAACCCATCTTTTCCTCCTCTACATAATGGCACCTGGCCCTTCACTGGCATTCGCTCACTGGCCCTCCTGACAGGCCCCAGGGAGGCAGTGGAGGGCACCCTCAGGGAGCCACAGGCGTCGGTGAACTGCTGGCAGGGTGCCCCAGTCTGGGTGGGACTTACTGTCTCTGTGAGAGCCGGGAGGGACCCTCCTAGATGGACCTTGCCTGCCACCCCCCATCATTTACCGGATGAACAGACAGAGGCAGGAGGGGCACGGTCTGTGCGAGGACAGGCCTGGGACCAGAGCCAGGGCTGACTTCCTGCAAACACTTATTTTGCTGCATAACGGATTCCTTTAAAAGAGCTAAAATGTTTCTGTTTAATAACATTTTACTGAAGTATATTAGCTATCACAGTAAATGCAGAGCCAAAACGGGGGACCGCTCAGAGAGACTGGAGCCCCTGGACATGACTTCCACGGCTGGTGTGTGAAGACTTTCGGTCGGTTGCATGCCGTGAATGTCTGGGTGACCGTGGTGCTGGCGAGCACGATGACGGTGGCGGTGCTGGTGACCGTGGTGGCTGCGGTGCTGGTGGCAATGCTGGCGGCGATGGCAGCCCCAATGGTGTGGTCCGAGCTCTGGGCTAGTGTGCGCACGGATTACCCAATTCATGCTCCAGCATTTCATGGGGGAGGCAACCATTATTTTCTCAGGGTTTAAGTGACCTGCTCAAGGTCCAGGAAGGGAGGGCGCAGGGGCTCATGCACGGAGGCAGCCTTCCTCCCCGGCCCACCGCACATTGCCGTCCACGTGCACCACCGTCTCGCCCTCTCCCTCCTGCCCAGCCCGAGGCCGGCGTCCCACAGAGCCCACGCTGACACCGCTCCTTCCCTCTCACACTCGTGACATCCCAGTTTCCTCAGACCCGAGCTGCCTGTCTTCATCCTCCCGCCCGCCCCACACAGCCGGAGGGGCCCTTCTGAAACCCCGGCCGGTCATACACGCTCTAGCGGTTTCCAGGGCTGCCACTCAACCGGTCCCGAGGGTCACCAACAAGACGGTCAGTGAGGCGGGCTCTGCCTGTCTCCCCAGCCCCATTTTCTGCTGTCCCCCCAGCAGCACCCCACGACCCAATCAAGCCATTCCCCCAACAATTTCTCGAGCAGGCCTCGGGGTTCCCACCTGCTGACACCGTGCCTGGCCCCCGGCACGAGCTGGAGGAGAGAGTGAGGGCGGAGGAGAGAACGCAGAACGCGCGCGAACTCCTTCTTCTGCGATGTAGCTCTAGCAGCATTTCCAGTAATTTTCTATCTTTTGCCCCCAAGGGAAGTAAAGGAGATCACGGTGCAGACGGAGAGGCCGGCGGGAAGGGGGACCAGGTGAGAGGGGACCCGGCGCTGAGCCGCTCAGCCCAGGAGCGTCCGTGGCCCCCGGGCCGCTTCGCCTGCCGTGTGGACATCACTCCTTGTCTCGCCTTCGCCTGCAGGAGGACTTTCCTCGCCAAGTCACATCTTCGTGGTTTTCCTCCTGATGCCTCTGGCTGGCTGTCCCCCCCCCCCCCCGCAGTGTCCTGGGGCGCCTGCCCCTTCATTTCCTCCCCCTTCTTCCTCGGGACTCTCTGCCTTCAGTGCTTGGCAGTCCCCGTGAGCAGCACCCCCTCCCTCGGGTCACACTCCCGCCGCGCCCCGGGTCCCTACTGTGTGACCACGGCGCCCGCTGAGGTGCTCCCCAGGGGCCCCCAGCCCAGGCGGGCCTGCAGCCCCCGCTCTCCGCCCAGCAGCCCTCCCGCCCTGCAGGCTGGCTGTCGCGCTTCTGCTTCCCTGCCCCCCTGCGCTGCCCCCCCTGCCCTGCCCTGCCCCTCACCACTCTGCTGTGCCTCCCCCAGTCGGGGCTCACTGCTGACCCGCCCCAGGCCCGAACCGCACCCACTCTGAGGCCCAGAACCAGCCGCGGGCAAACCCCTCGCCGTACAGGGCGTCCTGTTCAGTGGGAAGGTGGCACCTGTGAGCAAGTCACCTGGAAGCAGTGGCACAGGAGCCGTGAGCAGGGGCTTCGGGCGTTCTCCGCTGAGTGCCACCTGCATTTGGAAAAACAGAATGTGCTGGATCATTCTTACAAGAGTGAGCGGCCGCGGAGGGCAGCATGTCCTCTGCTGGACGTCACGGTTTGTTTCCCAGTGGCAGGAATGGAGGTGGGGGCAGGGAAGCCCCTCCTTTCCCGGTGGTTCTGGTTTTATGACACCGTCGCTCCGAGCGAGATGTCAGATCCACGCACTCTCCCCCTCTGAGCTCATCCCGCGATGCACACGGACTCCTCTCCGCGCACGCGTGGAGGCATCAGTTCCTTCCTTAAAGCTGTACTATTGTCAGGGTACGGACGCCATGATTCAGTTAACCGAACGAGTTCCATTGTGCGCCTATATTGTGTATGTGTGCATATGCACTTACTTGTTTTCAAATTTTTGTTATAGGACACTTCAAAGATACATAAAAATAAGGGAGTCCACCCAAGAAGGGACTAGTGGTCACCAAAGGGTAAGGGTGTGGGAGGGCGGGTGAGGAGGGAGGGAGAAGGGGACTGAGGGGTGTTGTGTTTAGTACACATGGTGTGGGGGGGCACGGGGAGAACAGTGTAGCACAGAGAAGGCACATAGTGGGTCTGTGGCATCTTGCTGCACTGATGGACAGTGACTGCACTGGGGTGTGCGTGGGGAGTTGATAATACGGGTAAATGTAGTAACCACATTGTTTTTTCATGTGAAACCTTCCTAAGAGTGTATATCAATCATACCTTAATAAAAAATGTTTAAAAAATAAAGGAGTCCAATGGAAAGGCTCCCCGTGCACACATTACCCAGCTCCCATACCTGCCGGCTGCGATGGCCACTCTCATTCTCATTAATACCCACACACATTACTGACACCTTCTCCCTTCACATTATGCTGAAGCAGGATGGACTTGTTTTTGTAAATATTGTCAGATTCTTTCTCAACCTATTGAAACACCAGCAGTATATAAAAATGAAGTAATTTTGTTGTCAGTGTCTTTATCCAAAATTACTATTGGAGTTAAAAGATAGATTCTGGATTTTTGTCTGAAATTTGATAGTTGCATGAAGTGAAAAGCCTTTTATGAATCATTCTTTTTATGATATTTTTATTAAGGTATCATTGATATACTCTCTTGTGAAGGTTTCACATGAAAAACAGTGTGGTTACTACACTCACCCATATTATAGGGTCCTCCCCCCCATACCCCATTGCAGTCACTGTCCATCACTATAGTAAGATGCCACAGAGTCACTATTTGCCCTCTGTCTTCCCTGTGACCCACACACACACCATGCAAGCCAATCATAATGCCCCTCAATCCCCTTCTCCCTCCCTCCCCACCTGCCCTCCCCCACCCCTCCCCCCTGGTAACCACTAGTCCCTTCTTGGGTTCTGTGAGTCTGCTGCTATTTTGTTCCTTCACTTTTGCTTCGTTCTTATACTCCACAAATGAGTGAAATCATTTGGTACTTGTCTTTCCCTGCCTGGCTTATTTCACTAAGCATAATACCCTCCAGCTCCATCCATGTTGTTGCAAATGGTAGGATTTGTTTCTTATGACTGAATAATATTCCATTGTGTATATGTACCACATCTTCTTTATCCATTCATCTACTGATGGACACTTAGGTTGCTTCCATATCTTGGATATTGTAAATAGTGCTGCAATAAACATGGGGGTGCATATGTCTTTTTGAGGCTGAAAACTTGTATTCTTTGGGTAAATTCCTAGGAGTGGAACTCCTGGGTCAAATGGTATTTCTATTTTTAGTTTTTTGAGGAACCTCCATACTGCTTTACATAATGGTTGAACTAGCTTACATTCCCACCAGCAGTGTAGGAGGATTCCTTTCCCCTTTCTCCGCATCCTCACCAGCATTTGTTGTTCTTAGTCTTTTCGATGCTGGCCATCCTTACTGGTGTGAGGTGATATCTCATTGTGGTTTTTATTTGCACTTCCCTGATAATTAGTGGTGTGGAGCATCTTTTCGTGTGCCTGTTGTCCCTCTAAATTTCTTATTTGGAGAATTGTCTCTTCATATCCTCCACCCATTTTTCAGTCAGGTTATTTGCATTTTGGGTGTTGAGGCACACGTGTTCTTTATATATTTTGGATGGTAAGCCCTTGTCAGATATGTCATTTACAAATATATCCTCCCATACTGTAGGATGCCTTTTTGTTCTGTTGATGGTGTCCTTTGCTGTACAGAAGTTTTTTAGTTTGACGTAGTCCCATGTGTTCATTTTTGCTTTTGTTTACCTTGCTCAAGGAAAAGCGTTCAGGAAAAAGTTGCTCATGTTTATATTCATGAGATTTTTGTCTCTGTTGTCTTCTAAGAGTTTTATGGTTTCAGGACCTACATGCAGGTCTTTGATTCATTTTGAGTTTACTTTTGTGTATGGGGTTAAACAGTAATCCAATTTCATTCTCCTACATGTAGCTGTCCAGTTTTGCCAACACCAGCTGTTGAAGAGGTGGTCATTTCCTCATTGTATGTCCATGGCTCCTTTATTGTATATTAATTGACCATATATGGTTGGGTTTATATCTGGGCTCTCTATTCTGTTCCACTGGTCTGTGGGTCTGTTCTTGTGCCAGTACCAAATTGTCTTGATTACTGTGGCTTTGCAGTAGAGCTTGAAGTCAGGGATCATAATCCCCCAGCTTTATTCTTCCTTCTCAGGATGGCTTTGGCTATTCAGGGTCTTTTGTGGTTCCGTATGAATTTTAGAATGATTTTCTCTAGTTCATTGAAGAATGCTGTTGGTATTTTGATAGGAATTGCATTGAATCTATAGATGGCTTTAGGCAGGATGGCCATTTTGACAATATTAATTCTTCCTATCCATGAGCACGGGATGTGTTTCCATTTATTGGTATCTTCTTTAATTTCTCTCATGAGTGTCTTGTAGTTTTCAGAGTATAGGTCTTTCACTTCCTTGGTTAGGTTTATTCCTCGGTATTTTATTCTTTTTGATGCAATTGTTAAAGGAATTGTTTTCTTGATTTCTCTTTCTGCTAGTTCATCATTAGTGTATAGGAATGCAACAGATTTCTGTGTGTTAATTTTGTATCCTGCAACTTTGCTGAATTCAGATATTAGATCTAGTAGTTTTGGAGTGGATTCTTTAGGGTTTTTTAAATACAATATCATGTCATCTGCAAACAGTGACAGTTTAACTTCTTTGTTACCAATCTGGATGCCTTTTATTTCTTTGTGTTGTCTGATTGCCGTGGCTAGGACCTCCAGTACTATGTTGAATAAAAGTGGGGAGAGTGGGCATCCTGTCTTGTTTCCGATTTTAAAGGAAAGGCTTTCAGCTTCTTGCTGTTAAATATGATGTTGGCTGTGGGTTTGTCATATATGGCCTTTATTATGTTGAGGTACTTGCCCTCTATACCATTTTGTTGAGAGTTTTGATCATGAATGGATGTTGAATTTTGTCAAATGCTTTCTCAGCATCTATGGAGATGATCAGGTGGTTTTTGTACGTTTTGTTGATGTGGTGGATGATGTTGATGGATTTTCGAATGTTTACCATCCTTCCATCCCTGGAATAAATCCTACTTGATCATGATGGATGATCTTTTTGATATATTTTTGAAATTGGTTTGCTAATATTTTGTTGAGTATTTTTGCATCTGTGTTCATCAGGGATATTGGTCTGTAATTTTCTTTTTTGTGGTGTCTTTTCCTGGTTTTGGTATGAGAGTGATGCTGGCCTCATAGAATGAGTGTGGAAGTATTCCCTCTTCTTGTACTTTTTGGAAAACTTTAAGGAGGATGGATATTAGGGTTTCACTAAATGTTTGATAAAATTCTGCAGTGAAGCCATCTGGATTGAGGAGTTTTGTTCTTAGGTAGGTTTTTGATTACCGGTTCAATTTGTTGCTGGTAATTGGTCTGTTCAGATTTTCTGTTTCTTTCTGGGTCAGTTTTGGAAGGTTGTATTTTTCTAGAAAGTTGTCCATTTCTTCTAGGTTATCCAGTTTGTTAGTATTTAATTTTTCATAATATTCTCTAATAATTCTTTGTATTTCTGTGGTATCTGTAGTGATTTTTCCTTTCTCATTTCTCATTCTGTCTATGTGTGTAGACTCTTTTTTTTTCCTGATAAGTCTGCCTAGGGGTTTATCTATTTTGTTTATTTTCTCAAAGAACCAGCTCCTGTTTTCATTGATTCTTTCTATTGTTTCATTCTTCTCGATTTTATTTATTTCTACTCTAATCTTTATTATTTATTTCTAGTTTCATGTCCCTCCTTCTACTAACTTTGGGCCTAATTTGTTCTTCTTTTTCAAGTTTCATTAATTGTGAGTTTAGACTATTCATATGGGATTGTTCTTCTTTCCTGAGGTAGGCCTGTATTGCAATATACTTCCCTCTTAGCACAGCCTTCGCTGCATCCCACAGATTTTGCGGTGTTGAATTATTGTTGTCATTTGTCTTCATGTATTCCTTGATCTCTGCTTTTATTTGGTCATTGATCCATTGGTTATTTAGGAGCATGTTGTGAAGCCTCCATGTATTTGTGGGATTTTTTGCTTTCTTTGCATAATTTATTTCTAGTTTCATACCTTTGTGATCTGAGAAATTGGTTGGTACAATTTCAATCTTTTGGAATTTACTGAGGCTCTTTTTGTGGCCTAGTATGTGGTCTATTCTGGAGAATGTTCCATGTGCGCTTCAGAAGAACATGTATTCTGCTGCTTTTGGGTGTAGAGTTCTGTAGATGTCTCTTAGGTCCATCTGTTCTAATGTGTTGTTCAGTGCCTGTCTCCTTACTTATTTTCTGTCTGGTTGATCTGTCCTTTGGGGTGAGTGGTGTGTTGAAGTCTCCTAGAATGAATGCATTACATTCTATTTCCCCTTTTAATTCTGTTAGTATTTGTTTCATGTATGTAGGTGATCCTGTGTTGGGTGCACAGATATTTATAATGGTTATATCTTCTTGTTGGATTTAGCCCTTTATCATTATGTAGTGGCATTCTTTGTATCTTATAACTTTCTTTGTTTTGAAGTCTATTTTGTCTGATACAAGTATTGCAACTCCTGCTTTTTTCTCACTATTAGTTGCATGAAATATCTTTTTCCATCCCTTCACTTTCACTCTGTATATGTCTTTGGGTTTGAAGTGAGTCTCTTGTAGGCAGCATATAGATGGGTCGTGTTTTTTTAGCCATTCAGTGACTCTATGTCTTTTGATTGGTGCATTAAGACCACTTACATTTAGGGTGATTATCGATAGGTATGTACTTATTGCCATTTCAGGCTTTAGATTCGTGGTTACCAAAGGTTCAAGGTTAACTTCCTTACTATCTAAGAGTCTAACTTAACTCACTTAGTATGCTGTTACAAACACAATCTAAAGGTTCTTTTCTGTTTCTCCTCTTTTTTCTTCCTCCTCCATTCTTTATATATTAGGTATCATATTCTGTACTTTTGTCCATCCCTTGATTGACTTTGGGGATAGTTAATTTAATTTTGCATTTGCTTAGTTATTAGCTGTTCTACTTCCGTTACTGTGGTTTTATTACCTCTGGTGACAGCTATTCAACCTTAGGAACACTTCCATCAATAGCAGTCCCTCCAAAATACACTGTAGAGACGGTTTATGGGAGGTAAATTCTCTCAGCACTCACTTATCTGGAAACTGTTTAATCCCTCCTTCAAATTGAAATGATAATCTTGCCAGATAGAGTCATCTTGGATCCAGGCCCTTCTGCTTCATGGCATTAAATACGTCATGCCCCTCCCTTCTGGCCTGTAAGGTTTCTGCTGAGAAGTCTGGTGTTAGCCTGATGGGCTTTCCTTTGTATGTGATCTTATTTCCTTCTCTGGCTGCTTTTAACAGTCTGTCCTTATCCTTGATCTTTCCCATTTAATTACTATGTGTCTTGGTGTTGTCTTCCTTGGGTCCCTTGTGTTGGGAGATCTGTGGATCTCCATGGCCTGAGAGACTATCTCCTTTCCCAGATTGGGGAAGTTTCCAGCAATTACCTCCTCAAATACATTTTCATCCCTTTTTCTCTCTCTTCTTCTTTTGGTACCCCTATAATGCTAATATTCTTTCGTTTGGATTGTTCCTAGAGTTCCTTTTTCTCTGTGTGCATCAGCTTCTTTATATTCTTCTTCTCTAATTTCTATTTCATTCATCATCTCCTCCCCCATATCTAATCTGCTTTTAAAACCCTCCATTGTATTCTTTAATGATTGGATCTCTGACTGGAATTCGTTCCTGAGTTCTTAGATAGATATTTTTCTGTACCTCCATGAGCATGTTTATGACTTTTATTTTGAAATCTCTTTCAGGAAGATTGATGAGATTGGTTTCATTTGATTGTTTTTCTGGTGTTTGTACGGTTTTGGTTTGAACCAGGTTCCTTTGGCGTTTCATATTTGTATATGGCGCCCTCTAGTGTCCAGAAGCTCTACTCTCTGGAGCTGCTCAGCCCCTGGAGCGTTTTCAGGGGTCGCAGGGGAGCGGTATTGGTGCCTGGGGAGAGGAAAGAGCTGTTTCCTGCTTCCCAGCTGCTATACCTGTCTCCACTGCCTGAACCAGTGGACTGAACACACAGCTGTAAGCCTTTATGCTTTGTGGTTGTAGTTGCTGTAGGCGGGACTTCCCTCTGGCTGGCCTGACACCAGGGTAGCAGCTGCCAGTTTGCAAGTCAGTGCAGGCTGGCCACGAGGAAGGCACAGCAGGCTGCATGTCATGGTGGGGGGCCTTGGAGCTGTGTATCCAGCCAAGGGGCTGGAGTGCCTGGAGCTCCTGAAAGTTCCCAACCTGCTGGGCAGAGTGACCTGGACAATTTTGTCCACCTGTCCTTTCTCCTGAGCAGTAAGCTCTGTGAAATCCTTGCCCCTTTAGCAGCCATCTTGCTAAGGGCTTCCTTGTTAGGACGTCTCTCAGACTGCCCACCTTTCCTTTGTCCCAGAGCCAGATATGGATTCCTGTTTTCCAAAAGCTACTGGAATCTCAGTCTCTCCAGGTATTCCACCTGTCTTAGCTTCCCAACGCCACTAATCACCAGAGCACCAGGCAATGTAGGTTCGTGCTCCCAGAGCAGACCTCCAGGGCTGGGTGTTCAGCAGGCCCAGGCCTCCACCCCCTCCCTGCTCCTTTTCTCTTCCTCCTGCTGGTGAGCTGCGGTGGGGGAAGGGCTTGGGTCCCACAGGGCCATGGCTTTGGTACGTTACCCTGTTTCCTGAGGTCTGCTTTTTTTCTCCAGGTGTGTGCAGTCTGGCGCAGCTTTCTTTCCTGTTGCTCTTTCAGGATTCATTGTATTAATTATATTTTCATATTGTATGTGGTTGTAGGAGGAGGCCTCTGTCTCACCTCTCATGCTGCCGTCTTTAATCCTCCTCTCCTTTTATGAATCATTTTTTAAAATTGCCTCTCGTGTGTCCCTAGGGTCACCCAGGAGTTCCAGGTTTCATGGGGCCTCCAGGGACCCCTGGACCACCAGTAAGTAATAATTTTTAACCCTCTCCTCTTTGGGCCTTGACATCTGACCATCCATCCATGCCCACTGGTCATGGATCACACTGGACGTACCTTTTATCTGAGGAACGGGCTGACACCTAAAAGGCGTCCAGGGGTACAGGTCCCGGAGGCATGGGGGAAAGTGAGGAGGGGCTTGAGTAGCACTGATGGGCGGTGCAATTAGAACGCTATTTGGACCGGGGGCATTGGCAGGGCAGAGAGGTTTGATTTATTACTAGTTTTTGTCCAGCCAGGAAGGAAGGAAGCCTGGGATAATTGCAAAGTTAGGCTCTTCAGTAAAGAATGCAGAAGCTGCTCCCTCCGTAGGAACCTGTCCTGCGCTGAAAGGCTTGAGAATCACATAGTGTCTGCAGAAGCCTGGACTTCCCTGGTTTTACTGCAGTCAATAACAGTAATAATAGCTACAGGTTGTCATTATTATTCACTATTTCTGTCTTCAACAGTTCATTCATTGTCACTCCAAGGCACTTGTTGTCTTAGTTATAACTTAGTTATGATTACAGCTGCCATCACTATCACCCCACTATCCCCGCTGGGCCCCTGAGCTCTTGCAGCGGCCGTGGCCCTGACACTGACCGACACCCTGCTCAGCACGCCTGCCCACCTTTGGTCCAGGCCACCCACAGATTAGTGTCACTGCTCTTCTGAGCAGAGTTCGCTGCAGCTGTCGCCATGGCCATAGGCAGTGAGAGTTAGTGCCCTCACCAAGCTGGGACCAGTCCCCTGGGAATCCCTGCATGTTCCCCAGGAGCCCAGTCTCCCAAACTTTGCAAAAAGAGGGTCCCAGTAATAGCTAAGGGACCACTGGAAGGAACCCACCTCAAACAGGGACCACCCTTCACAATAAATAGTAAAAAAGAGGCTCCGTTGGGATCGTGAAGTTACATGTATGAAATTAAAGCTTGCTCCCAGGAATTTGTCTCACATGGAAGATAAGACATAACTTCTGCAGCTACATCACATTTCCTTGAGGTCCAAGACCATGGTGCAGCCATTTCTGTATCCCTGTAACTCGGCCAGTGCCTGGTACAACACAGGCACCCAAATGTATGTCAAGTAACCAGTTAAGGGCGTCTGGAAGGGTACCAGTTAAGCACTGTGAGAGCTTGCTGACCTGTCCTCCTGTGCTCGGTCATNGCCATTTCTGTATCCCTGTAACTCGGCCAGTGCCTGGTACAACACAGGCACCCAAATGTATGTCAAGTAACCAGTTAAGGGCGTCTGGAAGGGTACCAGTTAAGCACTGTGAGAGCTTGCTGACCTGTCCTCCTGTGCTCGGTCATTGGCCACAGTATTCCTAGGTTAGGCTGTCCAGTAGACATACACAGAAAACCAGTGTCACCAGGACTTAGACCATAGAGAGCCCTTCACGGAGAGCCCTCCGTACCCTCCGGGTGCTGGCAGACTCTTTATATGCAGTAGCTTACTCAGTTCTCTCAACCTCAGGTGGAGAAGGAGCTGTCTTTTTCTCCATTGTGCAAAGGAACTGAGGTCAGAGGAGTAAAATAGCTTGTATTGGGCAACACAGCCTGTAGGTGGGGAGCCAAGACACGGACCAGGAATCTGGCTCTGTGTGTGTGGGCCCCTCCTAACAATACCCCCTGCTGTGCCGGGTGCCCTGTAAGCATTGCCACACTACTGCTCGGCTCCTGCGGTGCAGGCAGTATCACTTTCTGCCCTCTCTCTCACAGGGACACTGAGGGTTAGAAATCATAGAACACTTGGCCAGGGCTACTAAGAGGCAAGTATTAATTAGGCTAAGAATCCCTGCCCCATGTCCCAGCCTCTCCAGCTTTTTGTTCATTCATTTATTCAAGAAATACTGCTTGAGTGCCCGCTACCTCCAAGGCACTGCTGAGCTCCCCATAAACAAGTCAGTCTGCACACCTCAGGCTGTCAGTGGCAAAAGGCTCTGGAGAAAAACGAAGAGGGTGTGAGGGCCAGGGCCTTGCAGTTTGGGGTCTGGTGGGCAGAAAAGGTCTCACTGGAAGCCGATGCCTGGGCCCGGATGTGAGGAGCGTGGGACGCACTCTCTGACACCTGGGACTGCATTGCGGGAGGAGCCGCAGTGCGCGGAGGAGTCCCAAGGCAGAAGGGGGTCTGGGGCCCGCTTGGAGCCACCTGCCTACCCGTGTGCAGCTCTTCTCCCTGATTCATGTTACATCTCTTCGTCCCTGGGTTGGCACAGCAGCTGCCTTCCTTATCTCCCTGCAAGATAAATCAAATCGTTCATTTCTTGCCTTCTTCCTGGAACGTTCCCCGATACTAACTGACCATGTCCACTCTGAGGTGAGACCGCTGAGTATCGTCTAGGGGACAGCTGGCTGGCGGATGCTGTGCCCTTCCTGAGATGTGGCTTCCGTCCTCCCAACATGTTTGTAGCCCAGACACTAGCCCAACCAAAGGGAAGCCGGGGCACCTTTGAAACATTAGGTTCAGGGAGCCAGGAGAGGGCACAGGACGTGAGGTCGATGTGCTGCTTCCTGCACAAAGCGTGAAGGTGCTCAAGGCCTCTGTCCCAACGCCCAGGAAACTGACCCTCTGCTTCATCGTCCTTAGGGAGCCGATGGAGTCGCGGGAGCTGCGGGACCGCCAGGCATCCAGGGACTGCCGGTAAGTTCCTGGACAGGACCCGCCTCCAGTCTGCGGGCCTTCCCACACCCAAGCCGGCGCCGGCCTGCCCTGGCCCTCCCTTCCTCCGTGGCTCATTCATTCTAAGAGTCCAGTCAACACTAGTCTTGCAACAAAATTGCCTTCTGTTAGAGCCCCACTTACCTCACCTCTAAAATAAAGCTTTGGAGGAAATGACCTGACAATCGTGATTCCAGAATTCAGGTAATAACCAGTTCGGGCAGGCCGTGGGGTCAGCCGCATCTCTCTATCCCTTGTCCGCGGGTTTCTATTCTGACCAGTTACAGCGAGTGAAAGGCTAGGAGCTGACCCACCCTGAGCCTTTGGGGTGTGCCTGGTGGCCTGGCATGCCAGGTGGGCTGTAGCAGTTTATCTAATTGGCCAGAAAAGGGGAGTGAAGTTAAGAAGAGGGATATCACGGATCGAGGTCCTGAAACCAAAATGGGTGGAGCTGGCGTTTGGGCCCAAGGATCTTTTCTCCAAAGCCAGCGTTATGGTCACGGCACAAAGCAACCAGAGCCACTCTGTGCCATGAAGCAAAGGGGGACCTCAGCTCAGCAGGCCTCGTGCCCGTGGCCACGACATGCATGCTCCGCTCACCCAGAGGAACACACGCAGCCGTGACTTCCTTCTCTCATCTGACTGTCCTAGTAGTTAGGAACATACTGAATCATTACCCCCATTTTAGAAATAAGCAAAGCTGGCGAGATTGGAGATGAGAAATGACGCGTTCAGGGTCATTCGGTGGGGAAGAGTCAGAGGCACCCTGGTCCGCAGGAATCTCAGTGTCGTATCACAAGTCTGGCCCGCGGGCAGGTCGGCCCTTCCCTGGTGTATCTGGATTCTGGTGCTTTCAGGATCAGTCATGACAATTTCCGCCTCCCCAGACGAGGAGGACAAAGCCCAGGGGGTTAGGTCCTTGTTCAAGGACACACAGGGAATTAATCCCCAGATGGGAGTTAGGCCAATTTGCAATCTCCCAGTTCAGGGTTCTTCCTGCTGCCCCACACTAACCCACTCTGTGGGATGGCTGGGATGGGGGCTGGGGGGATGGAGAGACCGAAAAATAACAGTCCCCTGGTTCTTTTTACAATTGTCATCTGGCAGCTCCTTGTGAAGCCGCCCTCCGAGAAGTACCAGCATGAATAAAATAGAAAACACACCACAGGCAGCTTTTCATTGATTCTCAGAGAGCAAAAGATTTCCCTGATAGAAACTAACAGACTGTTTGCCCTAAGAGAAGAAGATGTGGGACTCAGATGGGAATCCTTACATTCCTGGGAACTAAACCATATTAAGTAAGAAATGGATTCTGTCCTGGGACCTCGTGGCCGAGTTATGGCCGGTCTTGGAGCTGTTGGTGGTCCTGATATTTCACCATAAAATTCAAACCAGAATGTAGTCAGTTTCTCAGCACAATGAGTGTTAGTAGGTAAAAAACAGAAATAAAAAATGATAAGTGTGACATTAAAAAAAAAGATACATACAAACCTGGAACATTTTCATTCTATTTTTAATTAACATGTATACAATTTGTCAGTCTTTTGGACATAGAATGAAATCCTTACGTGGATTTCAGGTCCCCCTATTGGAGTCTCTTCTCATTATCTTTGTTAAAAAAAAAAAGCACCATTCTCTATTTGTTGCTTTTTAAAAAATGGTCTGAGATATAGCAACACCTCTGAAGCAATTTCAACATAGAATCTTAGTTGTTGGGTTTTTCCTGCTCTTTTACAGCTATTTAGATAGTGAGCAACTCACCTTTTGTCAAATATTTTCAGTCAACTTAATTTGCATAAGAAAGATTATTCTTTTTCTTTTCCATAGCGAACAATTGGTGCAGGGTTTAGGAACAAGCATGCTGGTTCCCTGTGCATCTTCAGCTCATCTGATGGGGAACAAGCTAGTAAATATTTCAGTCTTGTGGGCCATGTGGTCTCTGTTGCAGACACTCAGCTCTGCTTGGTCAGGTGAAATCAGCCATAGACGATATGAGAGCTGACCTGCGTGACTGCGCTCTGATAACACTGCATCTGCAAAATCAGGCAGATGGCTGGAGTTTGCTGACCCCTTTCCTAGATTGTTAGTGTTTCCCCACTAGGGTCTTTGGAACTATAAGCGTCCAGAAAGGAACCCAGAAAGCTCCCTTATCAGTATTTAAAAATCCATAACGATCATGAATAATTGTCCCAAGCTGACAAAAAGCACCCACTTTATTCGTTAGTGTGCTTGAAGGTCTGTGATGGTCGTGAATGTGGTTCGCTTTATTGTTAATATTTTGCATGGGTCTAAGTGGCAATCTGTCTAGGCAATCTCAGCTACCGTGCAGCATACTGCCACAGAGATGCAGGGCACGCCAAATTTTTATCAATGCAAGTACATAAACTTAGCATTCCATTTTAATTAAGAGTGACTTCTCAATATGAATATATAAAGAGTCAATCTTCTTCAGAAAAGATTTTAGCAAACCAATATAGTAAACCTGAATCCTCGTCGGTTCTTCATCAGTTCTGAAGGATCTATAAAAAAAAATTCTTTATCTTCTGACGATACATTACCAATATCTTTTATTTTCTTCAGGCATGGAAATGAAGCTCAGTTACTGAGTTTTTGTTGAGTTTAACTAGTGCTTAATAAAGGAAGTGTGCTTTTGGTATCCTTATTTGGACACTTTTTATATGACAGTATATAAAATCTATATCCATCTGCAGTAATACCAAAATATTTTTGCTTTTGCTTTTCTTCCAATGGGCTAAAATCACAACCCTTAAGAATACCTCATTTTGTATGGCATGTGGATTAGAATGTAAAACTTGACATCAGCATTTTATTGCAAAAGAAATATAAATAAGAGATTACCAAGTCATCAGGACCTCTAAATACAGTAGGAACACAGGATGATATAAAAATGCTCATCGTGATAGAAATGATAACACTGATTACCTTATCTGATTTGGAAGCTCTGGTTGAAAGTGTTGTGTGTTTTGGTGAATAAAACAGGAAATGAAATATTAATAAATTTAGTAGACATCTCTCAAAACGTAAGGTCTCCTTAGTGGAGGGAAGAGATACGAACAGCAACCAGTGGTGGTGGAAAGTCTGAGAACCGCTGCACAGAGGGTGGGAATGAGAAAGCCGTCTGCCTGCGGGTCCCCAGTCAGCAGCTCGCTTGCGCCGGCTCTTGCCCGGGCCGCACCCCACGCGCTGTAAGGCCAGGACCCGAACCTCAGGCAGGCTTGGGACCGAGCGCAGAGTTGGATCTGGACCCAGGCCTTGTGGGCCCCAGAGCCCCAATATCGTCTTCCCACCAGGCCTTCTGGTCTGTCATTCCCCATGAATCTGATGAGTGTCTGTCCGCAGGCCAGCCTGTGTGACGACGCTCTGCCCAGGCACCCCCCTGCCCTGAGGGAGGCGATGCCTGGGAAGCAGCAGGGTGGGTGTGGGAGCGCCATGCTCCTCACTGAAGACCCCTTCCAATCCACGGAGGCAATTCTGTGCAAGATCGTTGACTTCCAGGAAAGCCTGTCAAAGATATTTAATGGTATTTTTATGTCTTTGATCTTTTAGGGGAAAGAAGGTCCTCCTGGCCCACCAGGCCCGCCTGGATTACCTGGAATCCCAGTAAGTGGCATTTTAAAAAGACAAATCTGGTTTCTCTACTACAAAAATTAACAAACAAAAATATATTCCACCATTAAAGCAAGTCATGGTCACTGTGGGAATCTGGGGTGCTATAAAAATGAGAAAAAATGGGCACTAAGCAAAGCCAGCTGAATTTTCTGTGGAGTCACACTTAGTCTCATTCCTCCTTTGTGCATATATTTATTGTTGTTGACTTATGCAAATAATATTTGCATCTCTCTCTCCACACACATGTATATATACCATATGTACCAGCCGTGGTCCCAGCCAGCATGAAGCCCAGGGTCTCATGGGGAAGCCAGACAAAAAAGAAGAAAGCATTGAACCAGTGACACACACGACAGATGGGAGCCCAGGGCTGTGGGAGCTGGGGCATGGACCCCTGAGCCAGACCAGGAGAGGGTCTGGGGGAGGTGACACCCCTTGAGTGTTCAAGGTCAAGTTACCTGGACTGAGAGGGTTGAGAGGGGTCAGGAGGTAGGGGTTCCAGATGGAAGGAGCGACCTGCAAATAGACACGGATACATTTACTTACACGGACTGGCTACGAGAAATAGTGAATGTTCAGAAGTGCCTTCCACTTCTGGTAGGGACTGTGAGAGACACAGTCTAACCTTTTGCTAACATTTATTGAGCACCAGCATTAGCTTCTGTGAAGCAAAACAATAAATCTCCCCATTTATTAAGTGCTAACTCTGCCCTGCACTGGACAAGAAAGACCCTTTGTCATGCACGTTACAACCTCAGCTCCTCCCCCTGCAATGCGGGTGCCCCTTTAATTCAGGGCGAGGAGACAGGCTCGGAGAAGCTAGCAGACTGCTCAGCAGCACACGGTCACGTTCAGCAAGGAGCAGCCTCTCTCTCTTGGGAAGTGAAGTTTCCTGCGCAGATGAGTTGAAGCCACACTCCGCCCTCCTCCGCCTTCCCCCAGATGGTGCCCCCCTGCTCGCAGTGACCCAGTGCCTGCCGCAGGAGCCCCCTCCCAGCCCTGAGTCTCCGGGCAGCCTCCAGCCTCCAGCTTGAGTTTTCAGGTCTCCCTCGGGGGTGCGTTTTGTCCTGTGGACCCAGCTTTCTCTCCTGTGCCCGGGTCTCTAGACTCTTCTCCTCGCTGCGCCACAGGCATGGGGAGAAATGGTTTCTGGAGCTAACGCTTAATTGAAAAGGGAATTGATCTGGCGTGGCCTCCACACCGTCCCTGCTGGTGCGGCTGGTGTTGGCACAGTTACGCCAGAGCAGCCTTCCTAGAGAGTTACAGGGGCGTGTTGAGCCTTGGGCCGGAGGCCTGGACGGTTGGTAAACTGAGATCGCCATCCACAGTGGGTTCTCGCTGGTGCCAATCCTCCGATGAGGAGTGGTGCGTGATTTCCTGAGCCCCCGCAGCAGGGCCAGCCGCGCAGCTGGTGCCGTTTATCGTCACAGAAGCATCCATTCTGAGCAACCTCGTGACTGTGAGGCAGGCTTGACACCTCTGTGGTTCAGGAGAAGCACCACTGGAAGCTGAGAATTTCAGCTACCAGGTCAAGGTCATATACCTAGTAGATGCAGCCAGGATTCAAGCCTTGCCTGGTTTGACTCAGTTTCCCCTCTGCCCTGATACGTTACTGCTTCCTTTCTGCAGACCCCACCCGTCCAGGTGGCCCGGGATTGGAGCCTGAGCTGCTGTGATGTCATGGTCATTGTACAGAATTATCTTTTCCATCTTCAGAAACTCCTGAAGAATAATGATCTCTTAGATAAATGTGAGGCTTACAGTGCCCTATTTAGAGCAGGAGGTTGGCTGGTAGGGGTGGGAACAGGCAGAGGGAATCAGAGCCTGATTTCATGGAAAGAAATGTAAAACGCTCATGGTCTTCCTATAACCCAGACACGGTCTGTGCTGCCCTTCGCTGAGCCAGAGTCCCCCGCGCCCTGGGAGCTGCGCTCCGGGCTCCCCGGCACAGCGTGGCGCTCAGTGGCCCCCTCACCTTCCTCATGAGCTGCACGCCTTTCTCCTCATGGCCGCGTCCAGTCCAGGAGGCCCAGATAGGAGGCCCTGTGGTCCCAAGTTTGACTTGATGAGAAGGTCCGGCAGAGGCTTCTCCGCTCAACAGCGATCATGGGGACGCTTCTGCAGTCACTGTTTCCACAGTGCTGCGTGCCAGACACTTCAGATCAGAGAGCCAAGCCAGCAGCTCCGTGTTGGGGAAGAAACCAGGGAATCAAACCAGTCCTGCCTGTTGAAATGCCCCCTTAGCTGCTAAGAGTGGACGTAGCCGTGTGGGAGGAGAAAGGCCTGCGGAAGCCGCGTCCGGCTTCCTTCCCTCGTGGAGTCTGGCTGGATAACCAAGCTGCGTTTCTCTTGCAGGGAGAAGAGGGCAGAGGGGGCAGAGACGGAAAGCCAGGTGCCCCCGGAGCGCCGGTAAGGGACTCTAGCTTTCTTATCGTTTCACATGCCAAACTGGCAATTTCTCCATGTCAGCTGCTATGTCTTGAGCTGTTATGAACCGGGCACAGAAGAGTTATTTTCTGGGTGTTACTTGCTGTACTCCCCCCTACAACGGGGTAAAGGCTGTGTCCCCATTTTACAGAGCAGGAAACTGAGTCTTGGGGAGGTGAAATGATGGGCCCAGAGCCTCATGTCAGGCTGATGACAGACTCGGAACCTGGGCCTGGGGCTCCTGCGCCTCCTCGTATTCAGCTCTAACTGCCCCTTGCAGCCTGTGCGTGGGAGGGAACCCGGGGCAGGAAAGCCCTGGCTGGAGTAGACATCTGACACCTGAAGAGCCTGTGAAACCCGCAGTGCCTGAGGGTCGCCAGCTCTGCGTGATGCGTGCTTTCCCCTTATTCAACGTGGGCACAAAGCCTTTTTCTCTTTTTCTTTATCGTCAGCTGCCCGGGCACACAGTGACATGGACCGAGTGTCCGTGAGGAAGGGTCCGTGGCCCCAGTAGCTGCTGCGTGCAGCATGTCCCCAGGCCCGTTTCCGGGGCCTCACAGCTGCCCTTCCTCAGGCCGGCCTGCTCCTCCGGCCCAGGGACCAGCTCCGTGGCGACAGCGCTTCCTCAGCTCCTTGCAGCACGAATCCCTGTCCCAGCCTCAATACCCAGGAGCAGCTAGAAGGTGGCAGCTGGGACTCGGAGACTGGGGTCCTGCAAACGCCCTCCAGCGGGGGACCCCCAGGCCTGAGGGACTGGGAGGGAGGGAGGGTGCGCTGCCTGGGTCCTGCTGTCTCCGAGGTCTGTCGCTGGGTGAGAAAGCAAAGACAGAGCAGGGGCTTAACTGACCCACTTTGTATAAAAACGGGTCTACGTATAGTTTTTAATATTTTAATATTTTACGAAAAGGAACTCTGGGAGCTTGCCAAAACACCAATAAAAGTACCATCCATGGGAGGATGATGCTGAGCGGGAGGGACATAGAGATGGGACGGCACATTTCTATTCCATAGTATGCTACTTTTTATTATCTTTTAAATTTTCAGAGCCTTGGGAATGCATTATTTATTGATAAAATTAAATTAAACTACTTCATGCCAAAATTACAACCACCATGAGAAGTGGAAAGTGGCTTTGGATGCCAGCTCCCCTCCTACAGGCCTTGCGACCTGGGGAGGGCCAAAAAAGCCCCTCTGAGCACCCTGTTCTTCTCGAGTAGAATGGGGAGAATGGCAGCAGCTTGCCAGGGCCACTGGAGAACGAAATGAGGGGGAAATCTGTGAGCTGCATCGGACTCAGCTACCTGTTAATTATTTTAGTTAAGTCACTTTTTCTAACTGCCGCATTTTAGCCCCCGGTGAGGTTGGGGCTGCAGAGCCCGTAGGACCCCAGAGAGGAACTGCAGAGCGTCTTCACAACCAGCTTCAGGTTCCATTTAACTTGTTTGGCCATGAACTAGTATGGCTCATTCTGCATCTGATGCAACTTGCCAGAAGCACCTTCTTCACCCTTTTCCACTGTTGGCGGGAGGCTGCAACCAGAATTCCCTGCTGTGAGGGGAAGAAAGAGTTCAGCAGCCAGCCAAGTGGAAGCTCCTGCTGAGCCGCTGAAGGCTGCACCCCGGCCCAGGGGGCAAATGATGGTTAGCCGGGCGAGATTGTGGGGAGGAGAAACACATCTCCACTGCGGCTGATAGCTTCTGCCTGCACCTCAGAGCCAGGGGTTTTGAGGGCCTCGTCACATTTACCCCGTAATCCCCAGAAAAACCCCATAGGGTGCAAGCATCTTTATTAACCCCCAACGTGGAAACTAAGGCACAGAGAGGTTAAGTAGTCTGGCTAAGTCACACAGCTGGCAGATGAAGCAGCCAGGACTCACACCCCAGATCCTGGCCCCAGGGTTCAGTTCTACAGACAGGAAATCAACCGTTCTGCAGGTGTGTCTTCTGGAAGGCTGTCATCCACAGTGCAGGCTGGCTGAGGCTACTGGGCTTCATTCAGTCTGTGTATCGATGGCCTTTTCCAGACAGGCCCGTGCTGGCAGTGAGCACAGTCTGATGGAAGGCCAGTTCCGCTCTGGGTAAGCAGTGGGTAGGGTGGGCGGGGCGCCAAGGCAGGGCTGCTTCTCCTGGGGGAGGGGTTAGCCGCTCCCACCCGGGGGGGTGCTCCAGGGTTCTCCAGCCTGTTCACTCTGGCATCTCAGCATGAGGCCATCCTGACCTTTTACCACTCTGAGCCAATTGGGAGGAAACTGGCCCAGGAATGGGTGACATCAGGTCCCCCCGAAAGGCTATCTGGAGACCAAGGTTTGGGTGCAGGTGGAGTATTAGGGAGGTGATCCCAGGGAGCCCGGAGGCCACCAGGCAATGGGAGAAGGAAAGGAGGGTCACTAAAGGCAGGCCGGTGGGTGAGCCATCCCACTGGGCAGCCCAGCTCCGTCTCGCTGAGCTGAGAATTGTGAGGCGCCCCTGCCCTGCCACAGAGCGAGAAGGCTGGGCTGTCTACTCCTCAGCTCAAGCCTTTTTCATTGCGGCCCACTCCTGGAGGCATCACGACCATACGCTCAGGCCTTCCGCACATCCAGGTCAAGCCCCTGCACAGCCTTCAGCCTGGGCAGGGGCTGTGACCCCGCGGCCTAGGGGCCAAGGAGATGTGGCTGAGAAACAAGGCATTTGCTGAGGTATGAGCTGCCCATCTTCACTTTGACTTATTCCTTCAAGTTCCTACATGTTAGGGGCATGGACAGACAGGCAGACAGATAGATGGTAGACAAATACATGGATAGATGATAGATGGGTGTGTGGATGGATGGTCGAGTACCCAGATGGATGGATAGATAGGCAGCTTCTTGAATTGCCTGTCACATGGTTTTTATCAGTAGGAATTTGAGCAATAACTGTAGTGTAGGACGAGGTACAGAGACTGGGGCGTAAGCGCCCAGATGAGAACCCCAGCTGTGTGACTTTAAGCAGATCACTTAACTTCTCTGTGCCTCAGAGTTCTGCCTGTGGGATGACAGTGTGGCCACCCTCCTTCTGTCTGTGATTTTCCCTCCAAATCCAAGGGAGCGCCTCTCTCCTGTCCCCCGACTGGGCCCCAGCTGCACTCGAGGTCTGTAAGCTGCAGAAATGAGGGGACTTCGAGGGCATGGGCACGCCGTGCAGTTCCCAAGATGCCAGGGCACCAGTGCCCTCTCCTCCCCTTCCCTGTGCCCACCCCTCCACTTCTGGCCACTTTCTCTGGGCTTAGCACCCCATCTCTCGTTGGCTTTTGTTCATGGCTTAGTTCCATCCAGGGCAATACCAGGCCGCTGGCAGTGAAGAATTCTAAATAGCAAGGGCCCCCAGCACTTGTTTTGTAGTTCAGAGGCGGGCTGGGGGCTGGATGCAGCAGCTGCAGGCCCCCAGCCAGCGGGCACTCTGGCTGAGAACGGCATCCTTTGGGTGCTGCACGCAGCCGGGATTCAGGCTGTTTCTGCCATTTATTGCCTCGGTAAAGTTATAGCTTCTTTGAGCCGGTGTTCCCACTTGTAACGTGCAATGGTTACTAGCTGCCCTAAAATCATTAAAAACTAGGTCATCTGCATAATGCCCACCCAGGCCAGGACACTTCTGAGAATGAGCAGGGCCGCTGTGAATGGCGGCCTCAGAGGTGACACCTGCGTAACCAGCCCAACACTGTCCCAGGAGAGCCAGGAGCATCTGCACTGGTGATTGGTACAAGCAAAATGCACCACAGCCGGTGAAGGCTTGGCAGGGGGCAGAGACCGACTCGTGGAAATGTAACACCGTGGGGCCCAGGCAGCCAAGAATGGGAAGGTACCTGACATGCCCCCCGGGCTCTTCTTCTTTACTCTCAGGGCAAAACAGGAGAGCCGGGTGTGCCAGGACTGGAGGGAGCCCGAGGCCCGCCGGTAAGTGCCGGGTGTGCGTGTGCGTGTGTCAACTGTGGACGCATGCTGTCCATGGTAGAGTAAAGCCATCAGCCACACAGCTCGCGACGGAGCACTGTTCACGGAGTCTGCCCCTTGAGGTCCCAGAAGTATCTCTCCTTCAGACCGGTGCTTCCGTGTAATAAACTCAGGTCTTTCCCAGGCTGTGGCTATAAAATTTATTTTCAAAATTGCAACCATTGTTACCATGTTTGTGTTACAAGTTGCCTTTGTTCTTATCCTATTTGTTATGATTTTAATGGGCTTTCTCTTGATGATAGAACCTAAAATGAATCATAATTTTGATTTTGAACACTTCCCACAGCTAAAGGTTTTTCCTTCCCAATTATGAATTAACCCATTCTCATTGCATAACAATAGCACATGTTGATGGTAATAATAATAAAAAGAATCAGAAACATAATGTTATAGAGAAGAAAATAGAGTTACCTATATGTCTACAGCACAGATTTAAAGCTCTGTTGACATTCTGGTATGTTTTTTTGTAGTCTCTTTTTTCCCTTTGTATGAATTCTGACATTTATGTAGCTACATCTATATCAGGCTGTTGAGTTATTACACATATAAACATACACACATACTCTTTCTATTAAAATGAACTCTGTATTTTGGGGTTCATTTGTTAAACGTTTTATTCCTTCATGATTTCAAAATTGTGTAATTCCTTAAAATTGCTTTAGGAAAAAAATAATTTTTAATGAAAATCCTAAAATCCAGTTATCTGGCAAGAAGTAGGAAATCAAAATGGTAGTTCTAGTCCCTTAATGTGTTTTTCTTTTAAAAACAGTAACTCACCTGGCTAGTATTCAATAAGGAGGAATGAAAGCACAAAAATCAATTTCCTTTTTTCTAAATCTCCTTGCCTTTCACCTGATTTCCCCAGGAGAAGAAACCTAAGAATGCGAAATATCACCTCCTACAGGGGATTAAAACGCAGAATGAGAGATTTTTCTTCAGCTGGTCCCTGGGTTATTGGAGGGAGGGAGCCCTCCTTCCTGCCAACGGGACCCATTTGCAAGGACCCACGCAGGGCAAGACCCGTTTCTCGCCTGAAGGTTGTAAGAAACCTTAGTTCCGTGTAGGGGCTGAGGGTGGCGATCCAGACGGGCCAGGAGACCCACCGTCCCTGGCTGGCAGCACATGGCTGAGCGAAGCTTTGACGACCAGCATAGGCTGTGAGATTGACAAACCTGTTGTCAGCTTTCACTTTGTCATTTACTAACTTTGTGACCTTCATCAGGGAATCTTTCTGAACCTTTGTTTCTTCTTCTATGAAATGAGAATCAGAACAGTTTCCATTTCTGTGATGTGGGGTTTTGAGTCTTAAAGGAGCAGATAAAGCATGTAGACTTCCCAGCCGAGTGCCTGGCGCACTGTGTGGGGTTTTGGCCGTGAATACGTGGGAGCACACTAGGGTCCCTGACTCCCAGTGGGTAGATCTGGGATTCTGGTGGCTTTGAGGACCCAGGAGTCCCTGTCCCTTTCCAGAGAAAGAGGACCGGCTTGTCTTGAACAGCAGAGACACTGTTTCTCTCTTTTTCAGTCCTTACAGTGACTGCGGAGGTAAGTTCTGTCCTCATTTTACAGATGAGGAAACTGAGTCCCAGTGAAGAGAGGTAAGGCTCCCAAGAGCCATGCTAGAAAGTGGGGTGCATGGTTCAGTTCCACACCTGACTCCATAGTCAGCCCTGCTCCGTCATACCTAACAGTGTATGGAGCCCCTTTCTAGAACAATCCAGCGGAGCTATGCCGGAGAAGCGTTCCCTCAGGGCCTCCATCCTAGAGGCTGAGTGAGGCCACGCATGCTCATCACGCAAGTCGGGGGCAGGATCAATAGCACACCTCAGTGAATGGCACAGTCCCACACAGAGGCCGCTGGGCTACAGCTGTTCAGACGCCCAGGCCTAGAGCTGCCTTCTCCCCAGTAGGGACTTCATTCGCTTTTTGAAACCAGGGGGTAAGGTCAGGGGAGTGTGGTGGGGTCAGCCAGGAAACGTGTGGCTTGGGGTCAGCCAGGAAATGAAGGAGGCCCCATTTGGCCACAGGCGGCTGCCTCCCTGACCCTGAGCTGAGCGTGCTGTTGGAGAGGGCGAGCTTTGCAGGCAGACAGACCTATGCTCGGATCGTGGCCCCACATGCGTCTGGTGACAGATAAGACCCAGCTCACAGGACTTGGTTACCCTGAAATGACGGAGGCAGCACGAGTGGGGGTCCCCCAGCTAGAATGCCCCCTTTTCTCCTACAGCATTGGTGCCCCTCCCTCCGTCCTTCCCCACAGTGAGTGAGGGCTGGGACGGGGCCACAGTCATGGGCAGGAGGCCGTCTTCTGCACGACACACCAGCCTGTTTCCACCGGGAGTGGGGGCTGCGGTGGGGGCTGTGCTGGACTAGTGAGATTAAATTCAAGGCCCCTCCCAGGTGCTCCCAGACTCCCTGACCTGTGTGCACAGGCCATAGTCCCCATCTAGTGCATTGCTCTGGGCGGGCCGCTGGCTGGGGACCAGCTGTCCGGGGCACTGGGCCTGGTAGGAGACTCAGAGCTGTGCTCCAGCGAGGACTCTGGGAGATGACGCTGAATGCCACAGGCACAGGAGGGTCTTGGAGAGCGACGGGGAGGATGAGGGAGGTGTGGAGTCTGGAAGGGGGCCGGTGGCTGGGAAGGCCTGCAGCCCAAAGGGTGAGGGGCACGCCAGGAAGAGAGGACAGTGGGCAGAGGCCTGGTGGCGTGGGGCCCGTGCCGGGCACTGCAGGTGGAGCAGAGTGTGCGCCTTGAGTGCCCATGAGATGGATGCTGGCTGGGGCACCGTGCAGCGCGGGCGCGGTAGGAGGGGCTGCCCTGGTGGAGGGTCTGCTGGCTGTGAGCGCCCCGGGTCTGACCCCAAGGCTGGGGGGATGCATTCCAGTCAGTCGGGGGCAGAACCTGGGAGCGTCCCCTGAGGGCCAGTGGGAAACAGGAGCGCCGCCGGCCACCTGGGCAGCCCCGCGGGATCGAACCGGACTACCTTCCGACTCGGGACTTGGAGCGGGAGTTTCAGCCTCAGCCTGCTTGCGTGTGAGGTGGGGATTATTCCACAAGCCGGTTGGCCGGCGTGTTAGAAAGAGTGTTGTCAGCGCAGCGCTCAGCTTCTCCGCTCACAGGGCTGGACGCTGCACATGGTGCTTCAGGTAGCCCGTCTCCCAGCTGCCATTCTGTGCCCGGACAGCCCTGCACTGTGGCTCGGGATGAGTTTCTGGGGCTGGCCCTGCCCACGGGCATGGGGGCACCAGCCGTGGCTACAGGAACAAGGAAGGTGCCCAGGCCCCAGCTCCAGGCTGAGGAGGGCAGTGCTGTCTGCAGGGAGTCCCCTGCCCCAGCAGCTGGCCCGGGGCCAAGCCAAGGGGTGCTGAGAGACCGGGAAGCTGAGGGACAGGGAGCTTGGGAGGTGTGGGCGGTGCCCCAGCCCTCGGGGCACTGGCTGGGTGAGCCCGTGGCCCTGCCCATGGTGCAGAGCCAGCCAGGAGGAAGGGCCCAGCCACCTGGCCACCTGACTGGGTGGCCAGCACGGAGCAGGGCCCCACACATCGCAGTGGGTCTCCAGTGGGGGGAGTCACCATCTCCGGTCCAGGTGCACCACAGTGGCGGGCTCAGGATTTGGCTGGACTGGCCTGCCAGGTGCCCACCCTTTCCTGCCCTGGCAGCCTGCTCCTCGGTGGAATAATTCATTCTCTTTCTTCTAGGGCTTCAAGGGACACACAGGCGATTCTGGTGTACCTGGTCCCCGGGTAAGTGGGCAGCTCACTGTGGAGGTCGCCCCAGGTGGAGGTGAGCTGCTGCTTCTAGACAGAGGGCTCCTGGGCCCTGCAGGCCGTGAAGCACCTTGTCACCTAAAGGAGATAATGTGCACAACTGGAAACACCATCTCTCCGTTTTGGTCTAGTTTTTCTAAACAAGGGCAGGTGTTGAGGTAGAACCGAAGGGACCAGGTCAGCCTGGAGTGCTGCACGGTCTCCATTCGCCGTGCTGCGCAGGCTGTGCGCCCGGGCCCGGAGGCCAAGGGCTTTCCCCGAGTTCGCAGCACTGTGTGAAAAGCATGGGTTTATCCCAGATGGAAGTCTCTGGAACCTGTTCCCTTATCCTTCGACTTCCCCCATCTCTTCCACATGCCCCCAAGGAAGGAACGTCGGCGGTCCCCTGGTTACCCCCTGCCATGCTGTGTGTAAGGGTGAGAAAGCTGAGGGGGGGCCAGATGGCCCAGCAGGCGGGAAGGCAGCATCCAGGTGGGCTCGCCGACCCCTGAGCTGGCGTCACCCTGCATCTCAGAGAGGCGCAGCCCAGCCCAGCCCAGGCGCTGGCAGCTGGCCTTGGGGCCCCTGCAGGGCCCAGCTCGGGGCCAGGACTCTGGTGGGAACCCCTCCAGGTGCTCCGAGGCCACCGCGGTGCAGCCACATCTGCACCTGCCCCCTAACAGCAGCCATTCTGTTTCTGCCTCTAGGGAGAGCCTGGTGTCATGGGGCCCCCTGGCCGGGAAGGGACCCCAGGAAAAGATGTAAGTTTGGGTGTCCTGAGGGGCCGGGCTGGGCCTGCCGCAGGGGGCATAGGGGACATGAGGAGGGCACTCCACAAAGGGCCAGGAGACACTCAGGAGCTGCCGCTGAGGCAGGTGCCCCTGTGGAGGCAGTCACAGGAGGTTCTTGGAACCGGCAGGCGGTGCCTCACCCACGGCCCCACGGGCCCCACAAGCCCCCTGCAGCCCTGAGGAGGCCCGGGACCCCGGCTTCCAGCCTCACGGGTTGGTGGGTGGGAGGCTTCGCCAGGTCCGTTGTGCTCTGTTTATCTGCTCATGTCCACGACGTGCCTGGGGTGCCCAGCCTCAGAGGGGTGCCCCCGGGTGATCTCCCCACGCCCAGGGCTCTGCAGCCCCCACGCCCCTCATGGTCCCCACCGCCGCCCTGCGCTGGAGGGCGCTCACGCCGCCCACCTGTGCCCACAGGGCTCTTGTGGTCTTGGGACCAGGCGGGGCCGGTCAGACAGGAAGACTGAGAGCAGAGAGGTCAGGGGCCACGGCTGCACAGACTGTCAGGGGCGGAGGGGCTCGCTGGAGCCCGGATCCCTGGCTCTGCCTCCCCTCGGGGCACCACCACCCCACCGGACGGCCTGCCAGGCAGTCTGACGGGTGTGGCTGCAGCGTGGCTCCAGGAGCCGGGCTTCCTCAGGAGCAGGGACACGGGCCTGGGGCCCCAGGGGGTCACACCCACCCCTGTGCTCCCTCCGGGACCTGCCGCACTGGGCGCAGTGTACTCTGTCCCACGGAGCCTGGTGCACGGCGTGTTCAGGGCCAGCCTGCTCACAGGAGGTGATGGAGCTGGGAGGGTCTAGGAAGTGACCCCATCTAGTCCATACATTTTCCTCAGCGGCAGAATCTGCTCCACAAGGCATCTAGTGCCCGGAGCCCCTTTGAGCAGCAGAAAGCAGAGCGGGTGCACCAATCCGGGGCTGGGCCTCTCCCCAGCCCCGACCCCAAAACACCCTGGCCTGGCCAGTTGATGACAGCAGAGTGTGTGGCGGGAGAGCACCTGCGTCCAGCCCACCCCGCAGGTCAGGTGCTGTGGGACCTGGTCACGGGGCGAATGCCACCCCCCCTCCTCCCCAGCTGTCTGACCTTTTTAAACGTGAAACTGCATTTTATAGAGTGTTATGTAGGGGCCGTGGCTGAGCTTCTGTGTCTAAGGCGCAGCATGCAGGACACATTTCTTTAATGTGGCGACGAGGCAGGTTATTCCTGTCCGTGGAGCCAGAAAGGAATCCCAGGGGCCTCTCTGCTCTCGCTGCTCCCCCAGCCCGGAGAGGAGCCGCGTGGAGTCCCTGTGGCTCCAGGTGGAGAGTGTCCAAGCCAGTGAATAAGTGAAGGAGTGCGCAAATAGGATAGCCATGCATTCATTCCTCTGAGGGGAATGGGTGTGGCCGCATCTGGATACTATTTTGGACAGTGTCGATTTCCTTATGTAACTTGATGACGCTTGGTCCGCGTTTGAAACCGTGCCGTGACTCTGATAATATGACCTCTCTCCGTTCCAGGGTGACACTGGACCCACAGGGCCACAGGGTCCCCAAGGACTGAGGGGCCTTCCGGTGAGTGTGACGTTGACCACAGTCTGCTCCGTGTGTCAGCAGGGCCGGCTCCCACAGGCTGTTGGGCTGGTTAATGCTGGTGCGGCCCTGGGTGTGATCAGAAAAGGGTAACACGGCTTCATGGTTCAAAAATAGCTACTGCTGAAGCCCCCTACCACATACCCTAGGCTCTTTCCTGGGGCCACCCACTCACAGTCTGGAAATTTAGGTGGGGCCACATGGCCTGGCAGGCCCTGTCGCACTTGCCCTGCCCCGCACTCCATCCTCTGGCTGTTCTGATGTCCGGGGCGCTCTGTGTGTGAGCTCACCACTGCTGCCGCAGCAAACCACCCCAGACTGGGGGCCGGAACGGCACCCGGGGCTGTTTCACAGGCTGGAGGCTGAAGGCCAGCATCAAGGCCCGGCAGCTGGGAGGGAGGGTCCACTCCCCAGCTCTCCTCTGGCCTCCCAGGGTGGTTTCCTGGCAATCTTTGATGTTCCCCTGATGGGCCCCTTACCAGGGGCGCTTACCCACCACAGGGCCCCAGCCTTCTAAGGCATGCATGTCCAGGGGGGTGCTGTTGCTCCAAGAGGGTAAAAACTGGTTCTCAGGGTGCCCGAACCCCTTGATTTTTTATGTGTCAAACACAGATTTGCATGCAGAACAGAGACAGATATACAGTACAGCTGTGGTGTTAAAACTTCATGTGGGAAGATGAGGAAAACATGTCTGAATAGGCGGCTGGGGTGGGAGTGGAGTGACAGAGGCAGAGAACCCCCCCACCCGGCCTGTGATCAGGCTTCTGCACCCAAGCTCTGTGGGGCCGCCATCGGGCTTGATTCTGGCTCTCCTCTTGAGTGGCGTGTGGACCGGGTGCATTTCTTCACTGCTCCTGGGCCTCGGTTTCCTCACCTGTGAAGTGGGGAGAGGTTGTAAGATACAGCGAGTTGGCCCTGTGAAGCGACAGAACGGTGCCCTGCTCCGGGCGGGGACCTGGTGGCCGGTCATCCTTGGGCCCCGGGCCAGCTCTGCTCCTGGAGGGGGGGGCTCCCCTCCAAGGTCTCCTGGCACAAAGCAGTACTCAGCCGATCCTTCGTGAGTGCGGCTGCGTCCAAGGGCACAGAGGGACGGTGGCAGTGGGTGCCCCAGGAGAGGTGTGTCAAGTGGGGGGTGCCAGCAGCGGGCCCAGGGGAGGGGAGGAGGGCCTTGGGAGCCACGTGCGGGAGGCGGGGCTTAGCCCTGAAGGCCTGAGGTCCCCAAAGGCGGTTTTGCGGTTTTCCAACTTCCCCGCCAGTTCTGAGGGACGTGCTAAGGAATCTGTGACCAACAATAAATTGCTGGAGCTTGCCAAATACTCATTTTGGGGGGCACGTTAGAGCAGGTTCTAGACTGTTTCTCTGATGACCTGACTGTCACTCAGCTGGGACTGATGCATTTCCTGAGTGGGGAGAAGGTTCTGAGCGACCTCCGCAGGTGCACACCACCCGGAGCCAGACCCTGAGTATTCCTGGGGTGCTGCTGGGAAGTACCGCAGAGTCAGTGCCAGGGACTGCACGGGAGTTTGTGCTTCACTTGCTGAACTCTTCCCTAGCTGGAGAGGTAGGTGCTGCCACCATCCTGCCCACAGATGTGGAATGGAGGCTCAGAGAGCTCAAGCGACCTGTCTGAGATCACACAGCAAGCAGGTGGCAGGGCCAGGATTTGGACTCAAGCCTCTTATTCGAGACTCAGCAGCTCAAGCACCAGCTGGGCCTGTTGGGTAGATTTCCTTCTCAGAAAGAGCACCCTGGTGGCAAGGGGCTTGGGACTAGAGTTCGGAAGTCAGAGCAATTGGGGAGGAGGGCTGTGGCCTCCACTCCCAAGAGTCACAGAGACCAAGAGGCTCCATGAGGACCTGTGGGACGTGAGAGTGGCCCACCGCCCAGGAAGGAGCTGGTCCCAGGCCCAGGCAGCCCCCAGCACACTGACGGGTGACACGTGGCCACCCAGAGCCTCCAAACCACCCCGCCTGGCACAGCCGCCTGTGCTGGCACTGTGTGCTGATGCGTCTCGGCCCTTACCCTCCCTGCAAACAGAGAGGACCAGAGGGAGGAGGAGAGAGAGTCCCCAGAGGGATGCGCCAAAGCACATGTTCTTGGAGGGACACAGATGATAGGTCGGTGGGTGGGCGGAGGGAGGTGCAGGGAGCAGCCACACACAGCATTCCCTGGGGAGGGGGGGGGGGCAGGCGCTGCCCCCTGCTGGCTGCTCCGATGTCAGCACTTACCGGGTCCTGTGCTGCCTCTGTGCCTCGATGTCCTCATCTGTGATGCAGACGTGAGGCTCCTGCGGGATCCAGGGAGAATAGGCACAGAATCACCCGCGACCGTGTGCACTTCTTAGGCACATGATAGAAACCCTGTGTATCGTCAGGATTTATGATCACTGGCAAGCCTTTAGTGAGAGGTGGGGTAGCATGGCATGAGGGCGGCACCACCTGGCCTCAAACTTCAGCCCCTTCCCTTTGGTCTCAGGCAGGTTGTTTAGCATTTTGGTGCCTCAGCTTCCCCATTTGTAAAACAGCGATGTTTATATCTGCTGTGAGCAGTAAGTGTGTTAACGCATGTGGAGCCTGGCATGTAGGAAATGCCTGGCTGGCGCTCTTTTTTACTGCGACGTGTTTGCACAGAGCTGGCTTGTGAATGAGTGCTTCACAGGGCATAGGACATTAGCATTAGCACCTCTTGGGTAGAGGGTCAGTAGAGAGTGGTTTCCTGTCCTTGGCTGACTCATCCAGCAGGGCACCTCCTGTGTGTCTGTTCCTGGGCCGGATGCCAGGCAGAGAGAGAGGCGAGACACACACTCCTCCTGGGGCTCCTCCTGGCAGGAGAGAGAGCCAGGCAAGGACACAGCCACCCAGCGGGGGCAAGTCCTGGGAGGGAGGAAAGCGGTGGGCAGAGGGAGTGACCAGGGCAGCCTGGCACAGCTGAGCTGGGAATTACACTTCGTAGGAGTTTGTCTGATACTCAAGTCAGGTAGCTAGGAGTCTTCTTAAACTTTCTGATTTTTGTGCTGTGAAGGATCTTATTGGTTAAAGTGTTTATCAAAATTATGGATGTGCAAAAAGTGCCCATCCAGGTAAAGGACATGAGTGAGCATTTCGAGTCAGTTCTGGAATGTGGAGTGGTCCTTCCATTCAGCAGCTGCGTGAATCCTCACAAGCCCTTTTCTTCTCTGTGTTTGTATCTTCATCTGTCGGGGATATGGTTTACTCCTCCGCTGGTGGAGGAGGGAGACGAGATAACGGCACAGACACGCACCCCGAGTGCTGCGACGATGTGGGCAGCTTCGTGCTGCTCCTCCTGACAGCATCCGAGCTGGGATGAGTGCGTAAAGGACAGAATGCGGCCGTGGTCATTCACTGCACCTGTGCCGAGGGCGGTGGGGCTCTGCCACGTGCATGAACTCAGTGAATTCCACCGCAATGTCCTGACTTAGATATTACGCGCTCCCTTCATAAGTTGCAGGCTCAGAGCAGAGAAGTGGTTTGCCGAGAAGCAGCCTGAGTACCAGCTCCAGGTGAGAGAGCGGGTACTCGGCACCCGGCAGCCGCTCTGCTCCGCCATCCTGCTCCGCAGTGTCCTGACGGGGGCCTGGCAGATTCACTCCTTCTGTCTTTTCCACCAGGGTAAGAATGGATCCCCGGGATCTCCAGGAGACCCTGGCCCCCCGGGAAACCCAGTGAGTACTCTCCCACCACCACACGGTGGGATCGGGGCAGGCTTTGGAAGGGGCATCCGGCTCACACCAGTCACCTGGTCTCATCCTTGGAAGAATCAGTGAGAAAATACAGGGTTTGAATGATCCAAATAGGCTGGAGGCAAAACAGTCCAAGAAAGACCTCTTTCAAAGTTTAAAATACTTGTGATTATGCACTGGCTCTCTGTTGTCTATAAACATAGGCACCCGAAAGGCCAAAACCACTGAAGACTAAAAAAAACTGCATAGTAAGGTTTCATGATAGTTGTTTGATGTTTTTAGAAGATAGAAGGACAGGGTCAGGCCCGCTGACACTTACTGCCGCAGATGACAGGGCAAGCGTGCAACTTGGGGATGGAATGGGGGTGGGACAGACTTGGCTGAAGAGGGCCCTCCTGCTGAGCAGGAGGTGGGTGGGGGGAACGAAAGGGAGCAGTGGGTGGGACCAGTGGGTGGTAGGAAGAGGGTGGCCTGAGAGTTTGCAGGGTCCTGGCTAGTCACTGGATAGAGGGTTCGGGGTTTGGGGTTCAGGTCTGGTAAGCAGGGAGACGTGCTGGGGAAGGCGGTTCTTTGACGGACCCTGGGCTTAGGTAAGTCAAAGTCTGTCCTCCAGGCTCCTCCCAGCTCAACCATCTTGTACTTCTATTTGCTAAAATTGGCAATCCTGTTCAGAAGTCCACCCTCAGGGTACGGCACGTCAAGCAACAGTTGCATCGGGCAGAGGGCAGACCGGTGTTGTCTCCGTGGAAATCAGGGTGGCTTGGGTCTCTGGGAAGCTTGCTGGTGGTGGCCCTGGAAATCCTGCATTCCCAGGCAGACTGGGCGCCCGGGCCCCCTGGCGGAGACCCTTCTCCCCGCGGGACCAGGCCCCGCTGTGCCCACAGAGCTCCCCTCCTCGGTGGATGGGACGGCCCTTCTCAGGAGCTGTGGTGCAGGGCCTGTCGCCACTGGGGAGACAGAGCAGATGGGGGGAGACTGGGTCTCAAGGCTGCCGGGGCTCACTGCCCATGTAGAGCTGGCCCCGGGAGAGCTGAGCCTCCTATGGAGGCCTCCCAGACAGGCTGAAGCTGAACGATTCCCAAAGGGTGAGCCTACCAGACCGTGAGCCTAGGTGTGCTGTCGGGAAGAGGGCTGCTCCGAGGGCCGCACACACTCAGGGTGTTTTTGTTAAATATTTGTCCTAGTTTGTTTCTGTCGTTTTGAACCCAACCACCACGGACTGTTTAAGGAGGCTCCTCATCTTGCCCCCGACGCCACTGTGGGGTTCACAGTACTCCATGTCTCCCCCTGACCCATCCCCCAGTAGCAGAACGGAGGTATCCTTCAGTTTTGTTGATGGCGGAGACCTTTAGCGTAGAGAGGTCATGTGGCTGCTGAATCTTCTTGCGCTGGCGCTTGACCCTGAAGAATTGATCCTGTTTTCCCTCTGCAGGGTCAGAAGGGAAGCAAAGGAGAAAATGGCAGCCCGGGGCTCCCTGGCTTCCTGGGGCCCCGGGGGCCTCAGGTAAGCTGAGACCCTTGACGGGGGCCAAGGCCCCTGTCTCTAGGTGTGAGTGCGCTTCGGTATGTTTCCTGTCGCCCCCGGGTCCTCACGTCCGTCTGTCAGGTCACGGTGATGGGGTGTGTGCCCCAAGTCGTGTCACAGTCTGGGAGACAGTGGAGTATACTGGCTGAAACGTGAGCCCAGGGGTCAGGTGCACGGGGCGCTCAGCTCCACCGCTCTCTAAGCACGGGACCTGGGGAGAGCCTGCGCCTTGGCGCCCCCGTTAGGCAGACTGATGATGACGTCCCCTACCTGAGAGGACTCCTCGGTGAGGTGGCTGAGTGTATTAGCACTGCAGCCCAGCCCCTTGCAGGTGCTCAGGAAATGCGGGCTGTGTCAGTGCTGGGCATGGTGGAGTAGGGGTGGGGACAGTGACCCTGGGACCCCGGGGACCCGCGGAGATCACTCTGAAGGCGAGCAGGCGTGTGCTGTCGGATCCTAACACATAGGTGGCTGATTCAAGGGCCTGTGGCCACTCTGGGCTCCTGCTGGTGTTGAGGCTAGGTGTCCTGACCTGGCAGCTGATGCAGAGAGGCCAGGATGCCCTTTGCCAGGCTCCTGGACAGTGGGATGCTGAGGGACTCAAACCTCTCCAGCCAAGTTCCCCGGAGCCTTCTGCAGGCTGCAGTGCACACCTTGGGCTGCTGACCAGCGAGTGAGGCTGTATGTCACACGCAAGAGCAGACAGCTTACCAGCTCCTGTCCATCCCCCTCCAGCTTCATTCTGCCCCCGAGGGGACCCCATTGCCAGCCCAGCCACTCAAGGTGGTGACCCTCTTTGGCTCTTCGTTTCTATGCAGGCCAAGCCCACACAGGGCTCTGTCCACAGGATTTTCCTGGAGTCTGTCCACTCCGTTGCCCACTGTTAAGGACCCGAGCCTCCCGCTCCACCCCCTCCGCACAGCTGCAGACTTGTCACATCAGTCATTCCTTCAGTCGTGACACTAGGATTACATTTTGGCAAAGTACAGCTGCTGTTCCCATTTTACAGATCAAGAAACTAAGGCAAAGAGAGCTTCAGGAGGCTGTAAGGCTGCAGAGCCGAGGTTTGAGCCTGGGTAGCCTGACCAGGGCCCAGGGTCTTACTGGCCTTATTTCCCACGCTGAGCCTGCCCCTCAGAGGGGACGTGAAACCGACGTCCCAGAGGTCCTCTTAGAAGGAGGCCCAGCTGTCCTGCTGGCAAAGAGCCTAGACCCAGCGGCTCCCCTTGCCACCCTGGACATGTGCTGCCCCCCTCTGCACAGGCTGACCAGAGAACCCTGCTGGGATGTCCTGGGTTGGCTGGACAATCGAATGCTGTCTTCGCAGGAACATGACTTGAATGAAAGTGTCAGTTTCAAAGACAGTCGTGTTATTTGCGATCTGCTGATACTGCAGAGCCAACCGATCCTTGTTCCGTTTCACAGGGAGGACCAGGAGAGAGCGGCGGCCCAGGCAAGGAGGCAAGTACCGCGCTGCTCTTCCCCCCTGGGCACCCCTTCCTGGGGGAGAGGCCGGTGGCTCCCCGGCAGGGGCCTGTGCGGCCTCTCGGGGCCCCGTGCTCAGCTGGGCCCCCACCCTCGCTCCGGGGCTCTGCCCGCACTGCCTCAAGATCCTTACTGCTCTCTCAGCAAGGTCCCACCCTGCAGTTCTGCACAGGCCCACAGACCCTGCAGCCAGCCCTGGGCACTGTGTGGATAAGCCTTGCAGTCACCTCTCTGTCCAGTCCACCCATATCTGAGAAGCGCGTGCCTCCTGCCCCATCTGTGCCTTCTACTCACAGGCCGTGTTGCTCCCCCACTGACCAGCCACTGTTTCCCCCTGCACCCTGGGTCTGGTGGAGGGAAATGTGCTGTGGCTCCCACCTCTGAGGGCTGCTGCCTGCACGACTCTGCGCCCTGTTGCCTAGCAAAACAAGCCCAGCGTCGGAGCAGGTGCCAGGATCTCCCATCTGACCTCATCTTGTCCTTCTCATGTGAACCCCTGCCACCTGCTGCCCCGTCCGCGCCATGGCCCCTGTTCTCATCTCCAAGACCGGGTCTTTGCTCTCCCATCCACCTCAGGGCCTTTCTGTCCCGCCTCTGCCTGTTACATGTTATCTGTCCTTCAAGGCTCCCACCACACAGAAGCGCCAGGGCTTTCTTCCCCAGGGCTCCAGAAGCACCCTTTTGTTCGTCTGTTACACAAATAAACCGGTCTGCCTTGTATAGGAACTGGCAGCCACGCCTGCCTCTTAGCCAGGCTGTGACCGCTGGGGACCAGGGCGGGGTGTCATGCCCCCTCTGTGCGGGCCCCAGGGCAGAGGGCGGTGACTGCAGGAAGGGGCTGCCTTGAACAGGGCAGGACTGACCGGACCGCCCTCAGGAGAGCTGGGGAGGGTTGGCTCTCCCTGCTTCCTTCTCTAGAGAGCCCTTCTGTCCATCCCCCGAGCAGGAGGTGGCCTGCGAGCTCTGGGCCTGCCACTCTCCCACTGGCGTGCCCTGCAGTTCCCAGTTCTGAGCACCTGCTGGATTCAGAGCGGGGTTTGGGATGGGAGCACAGAGAGGTTCAGAGGTGACTAAGCACACGCCCTGCTTTTCGAATGCTTCCTGTCCAGGGGGAGGCTGATGAGCACACCCCTGTCACATCATCTGGGGAGAAAAGTAGTTGGGTGTCAGCTGGTAGCAAAGGAACCCATGCCTGAGGACAGACACTGGCCAGAGGGATTGGCCAGCGCTTGGCAGGGACGTGGGAGAGGGGCTGGGGGCAAAGTGGGAATAAGTAACATTCCAGGTGGAAAGGACCCCGGAGCAGGGAGGGAAGTGTCCCAGCAGTGGGGACTGCAGGACTGTGTCCCCCCACCCCAACCTGACTGCCCTCCATGAGGGGTGTGGAGGCCTCTAGCTAAGTGCTGGGTAGTCAGGGAGGGCTTCCTGGAGGTGAGGCCTGAAGGCCAGGTGGGAATTAGTGATCCAGCCACAGGCGCAGGCCCAGCCAGTGCAGCCTGACCGCAAATTCCCTTGTTGCACTAGCCCACTCCCTAAGCCTCCAGGCCTGCTCTCCCTGGTCCCATCCTGGGGGAGCCACCCTCACAACCTCCTCTAACCCTAACTGCCTCCCAGAGACCCCACCTGCTAGTCTGATCACATTGGGGGTGATGGCTTCAGCATACAAATGTGGGGGACACAGACACTCAGTCCCTGACAGATGCCGCATGCCGCCCCCTGCATCCAGGAGTCACAGAAGCCATTCACTCTGGCGGGAGCAGAGGGGCCAGGGCGGCAGGGGCAATGAGAGCTTATTATCAAAGACCCGTTCACGCAGGGTCCCCTGGCTGTGTTCCAGGGGTGGGCTCCTCCCTGGAAAAGGTCAAGGGCCCACCATGGGCTTGTGCGTCGGCCCAGGGCTGGCCGTGGCAGGAGCGAAGGAGGGAAGCAGACCGATGTGTGCAGCGACCGGACAGGCAGGAGTCCTCAGAGACTCGCCTCTCCCGAGTCCCTCGTCCTTGGCATGTGGGACCGTGAGCTGAGAAAGGACACCAGCGCTGGCAGGCAGACCCTGCGGGTGACCGCCTTCCTTTGCATTCCATTGCAGGGAGCCCCTGGGAAGCCCGGAGAACCAGGACCCAAAGGAGAAAGGGTGAGTCGGAGAGTGTCACACAAATGCGCCCTTTTCCGGTGGCAAAGGGCACTCTGTCCGAGGTGGCTGGCAGACAGCCTGGCCTGGGGAGCGGCTTGTTCAGCGGCCTCTCTTCTCAGTGTCCCCTGGAAAATCGCGAGCCCCACGAAAGGAGGTTCTTTTCCTCTGACATTGTTGTCTTCAGTGTTATTTTCTTTCCGGTTTTTTTTCTCCTTTTGGTTGTTATTTTAAGAAGCAAAATCATCGCAATTACAAATTCAAAGGCAAGTGTTTTCTGAAACTTTAACAGATTTCCCTCTTCATGTATGAACGCCCGTGCATGACACGCTCGGCTCCCAAAGTGCCAATTTGCTGGGAGACAGATTTTCTCTGGAGGTGACGAGGGAACAGATTTTCCCATAATGAATCTCCTTGGCTCTGCACTCAGAAAGCCCTCTTTACATTTCATTCCTCCAAAAAGCAACAGGGGGAAATCATTTTCTTTGCAGAAGTGCCAGTGGGCGGAGGGGCAGGTTCTCAAGCTGGTGACAGTCGCCTGCCCTTCCCTTTGGAGGAACTCAGCCCCTCCTCGCTTGCCCACGGTCCTCTGTGTGGTCGGCCATTGCCCTGTCGCACCGTGGCACCGCACGACCCACCACCACCCCACCACCACCCCCAGCGTGTTTTCCACAGTCCTGCGAGGAACTGACCTCAGCTTTCCTTGCAGGCTTTCTTTGCAAGTGGAATGGGTGAGGGGCTGGCCTGCAGCCGGAGGGGACAGAGCAGAAGCAGAGAGTGCCAGGGACTCGCCCGAGCTTTGGGTCTCCTGCTCCCTCCTTCCCAGTGGTGCTTGGCTCCTGAGGATGAGTCAGTGAAGGGGGCTGTGGCTGGGCACTGGGGGCTCCCTGCCAGTGCCACGCAGGTGTGCCTGGGGGCTCGGCTGTGGGGTGGCCTGGGTTTGGGTCAGGAGCCTGGGATTCAGACCACAAATAGGAACCTCCTCTCTCGCACCTGATCGATACATGGAGAGGTGCCGTCCCTGGGACGTGGTTTCGTGGCGCAGAGCCAGGGAGTGGTCAGCCTCCCGGTTCCTCCGCACTCCTGGAACACGTGAAATACGGGACCAGTCCTCTGGCCGCGAAGTGATATTCAGGCGTGGAATGAATAGGAACCGCGGTGCCACAGCTGGGACAGGGCCTCGGCCTGCAGGTGCACAGAGCAGCGGGGTACCCCAGACCCTGGTCGGACAGCTGATGACATCTCCATGAGATGCGTCCCACCTGAGACATTTAAGTGACCTCCCCCCACGTCCAGCCTGGCTAAGTTCCAGCGTAAGCTCACTGCTGTTTCTGTCGTTGGAAAAGCAATACAGGCATACAGCTGATGCGAACTGCAAAACCAGGGACGCAGTGCCCCAGGTGCCCCTCCCACCACTGCCTTCCCAGACCCCACGCCTCCCCAGGGTCCATCTCTGTGCAGCTGCTTTCTGCCTTCCGGAGTCTATTCTTGCAGAACCATGTGGGCGTATGTGTTCTAAATGTCCATCTACCTTGGAGGAACCCCCAGGAACGTGTCAGGCGGCCTCCGGCACTTGGCACCTTTGTGTTTCTGTGAGGCACAGACGTTGGAGATGGTTACCTGCAGTCTTCCTTTCCCGTGGCTCCGGGTGCCGCCCGGAGCCAAGCCCCATTTCCAGGCACTTCTTGTTTCTCTTCCCCTCCCCCTTCTCCTCCTTCTCCGTCACCTCCCAGCATCGGAGTCTAGTACACCCTGTGGCTACCGTATTTTCAGACCTCCCGGCAATGGAGACTGGCTGGCCAGACCCACAGCAGCACACAGGGCCAAGGGGGTGGCCCCAGGGCTGCCATGGTTCCCGGATGATTGACCCAGGGCTCCACAATCCGGGTCAGGGATAGGGAGAGAAGAGTCCAGCAGTCATCTCTGCAGGCCTGCTGGAGCTGAGGGGAGATGACTGCTTCTGTGCGGGTGGGATACTTCCGTGTAAAGGGTTCCAGTGTCCCTCCAGCCAACAGCAAGCCAACCCAAAGTGGCCAGCCGCTGGGCAGGCAGGTGGACGGAGCTGTACTATGGACTGGAGCACAGACTGGGCTGGACATAGTTGTCCTCTGCAGGTCACCTGTGTGGCTGCGGGCAGATGGTCTTGTCCTCATCTGCAGGCCTCACTCTGTGATGCTAGAGTGCCAGGGCTGAAGTCTCTGCAGGCTGTGGGGGCAGGGGGCTGGGGTCCTTCCCTCAGGGCAGCAGCCCACCTGCACGGGGGCACCTGTGCATCCTTGACTCACTGATGGGCTTCTTTCCTCCTCCAGGGGGATCCCGGCATCAGAGGTGACAAAGGACCTCCTGGTGGGAAGGGCCAGCCTGGGGACCCTGGAATTCCAGGTCACAAAGGCCACACAGGCCTGATGGGTCCCCAAGGGCCCCCTGGGGAGAATGGAGTGACCGGGCCCCCAGGGCCTCCAGGCCAGCCAGGATTTCCCGGACCGAGGGTAAGGTCACGGCTGTTTCCTCAGATGTAAGGCTCCTCGGGGCTCAAGGGGAAGCCAGGGAGGTGTGTGCCCTTCAGAGGGACCAGGCTGCAGACCCCTGTCTACCACTGGCTGGCTGTGTGACCTGGGGCAGCTTACATCCCCTCTCTGAGCCTGCCCTCCTATGTCTGCCAAAAAGGGACCAGGCTGTCCTCTTGACAGGCTTGTCGAGAGCTTAGGTGAAATAACGTGCATGGCTTCAGAAGCGCTCAAGCGCAGAGGCCTCCCCCTGTCTCGGTGCAGTGAGTCCTCAGGACATGGTCCTCCCAGCCCCGGGCCCCTGTGCAGAGGTGACAGGGAAGACGCAGCCGGAGTGGCCTGAGCCTCACATGCGTCGGACGCTGGGCTGGGTCACCTTCTGTCTGCCCATCTGGGGTCTTCGTTCTTCCCTCTGGGCCTTGCCTTTTCCAGATGTAAAAGGAGGGGCTGCTTGGAGCCGTTTATTTCTTGGGACATGTTTTCTTCCAGCGGCAGAACTCTAGTTTCGCACGAACCTGCAGCACAAGCACACCCAGCTCACAGAGAGAGAACAGCAGAGCTGTCCTGCTCCGGGGGGCTGGGCCCCTGGTCCGTGTGGCTTCCCTCCCTGTCCCACAGCCCACACGGGCCGCCTGGCCCTCGGAGTGCAGGCTAGCCGGTCTCCAGGGTCCCTGCCAGCCCCGGTGCTCTGTGCTTCTGCCACATCACGGTGGCTGTGGTCAGCCTGAGTTTCAGCCACTTGCAAGAGGCCAGGCGGGGAGCTGGGGGAATTGCTGGGCTCCCATGGACCCCTGGGTCTTTGCCAAGGTCTGCTTGTCCTGCCACTGTGGGTAGCAGTGAAAATTCTGGGGCTTTCATAAAGATTATCGACCAGAAAAGGAAAAGGAGAAGGAAGTGGCATCCTTCTCATGCCAGGCCGGGTGCGAGGTGCTGAGGGTACAGATGCACACAGTAAGGCTGACACCTGGAGGGCTGGGGGCCGCCCTCACGGAGTTGGACGGCAAGGACCGAGCAGATGTGGCCCCAGGACTTCCCCAGCTTCTACGAACCGCGCGTCACCACCTGAGCCTGGAGCTCTCTGCTGCCCTGGCCACAGATCGTCCGCTTCTGTGAAACAAGCCCCAGGACTTGCCAGACCCCTGAGTGGGCCGGGCAAACTAAGCAGGGGAAGCCAGACCCAGGAGCCCGAGGGGCCGTGTGGCCGGTCAGGGGAAGCCAGACTGGAACCCTTGCTGCAGGCAGCCCGAGCTGTCCAGGCCTTCGGCAGGGGAACCTTCTGCAGGGGAAGGCTCAGGGCCGGGCCCCCAGATCCAGGGCTGGGGAAGTGGTTTCTGTGGGAAGGAGACAAGCTAAGAGCAGGAAGGGTGTGGAAGGAGGGGCAGCGGGGGCCACACACACCCCGAGTCCAGCCTAGGTCCCAGGACACAGTGAAACCACTCACTGCCTGCATGGCAGGGAGATGGGGGGCCAGTTGGGGTGTGGCAAGGATCAGACTAGGAGGATGCAGTGTGTGTTGCCCATGACCCCCTTAGTTTCCTGAGCCCTCGAGGGCCTTGGGTGGCAGGAGGTACTGGGAAGACAACTGACCCCCACCTCCCTGCCTCCTAGGGGGAGCCTCCAGCCCTGGACACCCTGAGGCGGCTCATCCAGGAGGAACTCGGGGAGCAGCTGGAAAGTGAGTGGCCGGTGTTGCGGCAGCCCCGTGGGCAAGGCCTGGGCACTGGCAGCCGCCGTGGGGAGCAGCCCCTCCTTTAATGTCTCGGTACTTCTGCACAGCAGTTTGCGGGAGGCGCCCTGAGAGTGGCTCCCCTGCAGACACAGGGCCGAGGAGGCTCCGCGGGCTCCGGACACAGACCCCTCCAGGGCTTCTCTTCCACGCAGTGTGCACTGTCTCCGCCTGATTCCCCCCAGGAAGGCGAGCTCAGCCACCACAGTCAGTCACCTACTCTGTGCCCGCAGTCACCTCGGCAGGTCATCCTGGTGCGCCTGCCCGGGCCTCCCAGAACTCACAGTCCAGGGAGGTGGTGGCAAAGTAAACAAGATGATGTCAGTACAATAGGAAAAGTTCTGTGATTTAATTTGGCCCCGAAGGCATTGAAAGAGGACAGGTGAAAGGGCCTAAGTCAGAGCCGAGGGCAGAAAACAGAGAAGGGAAGGCTTCCTGGAGGAGGGGCCATGGAAGCTGAAAGAGGAGACGGGAGCCTGGACCCTCGGGGCATGTGCAGTGACCCAGGGGAGCAGGGGTGCATTTGCCCTCAGGGAACCAGAATGCTTTTAGTACTTGACTTATTGTCGAATCCCAGAGCCCTGCGTGAGCCTCTGTGGGCTCGGTCACAGCCTCGGCAGGATGAGGGGCCTGGGCCTGATCACCTGCGACCGTAATGCGCACAAGGCAGCCCTGGGGAGCCGTGGGATGGACACCGTGTCCCCAGGAGTAGGAGGACGTGGCAGCCGGCAACTGGACCTCTGGGTTTCTAAAGCAGTTCTCTGATCTGAACATTTTAGGCATATAAAGACATTAATGACATGAGACCCAGCCTTCCAATTTATAGGTGAGGACCTGGATTCCCAGATAAGCCACCCAGTCACTTTGTGTAAGTCACTTCGGCCACCCCCAGCCTCGGTTCCCCCACCTGACAATCCCTACGGCCACTTCTGCGGCTGCTGTTCTGGTGTCCGTCTGCTGTGACCCTAGCAGCCAGCAGCCACCCGCATGCACCACGGGCCAGGCACCGTGTTAACGCATTTTTTATTTACTCCATCCTCACACTCACCAGGGGGAAACGCTGTTTTATCATTGCTCCCACTTTACAGACAAGGAAACGGAGGCTAAGAGGAGCCAACGAGCTTGCCCGAGGCCACCCACCTGGCAGGCAGGCCCCGAGGCGGCGGCGGTCGGCAGGGCCTCAGTCAGCTGCGGGGCCAGCCTGTGGAGCGGGGCGCCCGCCTGCGCCGCGAGGCCGCCGCGGGGGGGTGGGGTGGGGGTGTACATCGTTGGTTCGTGCTGGTGTCGCCGTC